CGGGAAGATGCGCGTGGGGCAGGTGGTGGAATCCGTGTAAAAGTAGGGGAAGAGGTGAGTGAGTTCGACCTGCCGGCCCCAAATCCTTCGCTGGGCCCTACGCCCGAATCTGGCCGAGTCATGGCAGCTGGAGCGGTAGGCGGTGATACATCGGGGAGATTGGTAGTCGGTTTGGAGGGGCGAGGAGGCGCAACTGGCTGCTCTCCACCCTCTCGGGGTCCTTCGAAGCGGCTGCGGGGCTCAAGGGGCTGTGTGATGTCGGTTCTTTCTGCCTTAGGCCCTGTCGGAGGTTGAACTGCTTGCCGTTGCGGGGCTTCATATCGGTCTCTCTCTGTGAGGAAACTAGCATTGGGCGCCGTGCGTTGGTCTAAAGACTCTTTATCTGAAGCATTCGTGATGGGTGCAGCCACCGAGCCAAAAGCGGGTACCTGGGGGGCGGCTGGAGGTGGTGAGTTTCGAATGATAGGTTGGTTCTTCATAACGTCCGGTCGAATAGCATCGGGGCGAACAACATCCGAAAGAAGAGAGTGAGTGCGAAGAGGATCGGGGCGAGGAGATTCGGGGCGAGCAGCATCCACTCGAGGAGTGTCAAGGCGAACAGTGTCCGATCGAACAGCACCCAGGCGAACGTCATCTGGGCGAATGGCATCTAGTCGAGCAGCGTCAAGGCGAGCAGCGTCAGGGCGAACAGCGTCAGGGCGAACAGCGTCAGGGCGAACAGCGTCAGGGCGAACAGCGTCAGGGCGAACAGCGTCAGGGCGAACAGAGTCAGGGCGAACAGCGTCAGGGTGAACAGCGTCAGGGCGAGGAGCATCCAGTCGAGGAGCATTATTGCGAACAGCGTCCGGTCTAATGGCATCAGGTCGAGCTCGAACAGCGACAGAATCGTTCCGCTCGAGGTCTCGCGTAGGTTCCAGAGCCGGAATGCTGGGAATGGTTGAAGGTTTCCGACCATGATCCACTTGGGGATGATCAGGCAGGCGATCTTGGAGAGCTGGTCCTGGCCCAGGGCCGGGTACCGCAGGGGGATGTGAGGAAGTAGTTGAACCGCTGGCTGCGCGGCTATCTGCACGACTTGGGGGGCGGTCTCGTTTCCAGAAGTCCACCGGGCGATCACGGTCCTCGCGATCAGGTCTTCGGTTGTCCCAATCTTCGCGACGGTCAAAGCGGTCCCGACGGTCCAAGTCGCGATCTAGTTCTCGATCTCGATCTCTTGGACGTGCAAGCTCTCTGTCACGATCTCGGTCCATCATGCGATCGCGATCTAATGCACGATCTCGGTCCATGTCTCGATCTCTATCGCGATCCACCATCCGATCCCTTCCACGCCACTGCTCACGGGATCGACTACGGCGACGGAAAAGATCACGATCATCGAGGAAAGGTGGACGACCACGACCGCGACCTCCTTCCCAATCTCCGCGACCACGCCCTCGCATACCTCCTCGGTGTATATGGCCAACATTGGGAGGGGGACCATCTGGGCCACCTGAAGACGCAGATATGATACTGTCTCTGGAGTTGCGTCGCATCCGAACCAGATCAAAATCGCGCCCCGGGGGCTCCCTCATGTCCCGAAAGTCGCGTGTCGGTGATCTTGAGCGGCCTCGGCCAAAACCAATCCGGTTGTCTCGAGGATCGAAATCGCGGTCGCGGCGAACCCAGTCTCGATCCATGTCTCGGCGAAACGGCGGACCATCTCGGGTATCTCGAAAGTCGCGATCTCGGTCGCGGTCTCGTGGGTCACGGTCACGAAAGTCACCACGGCCATAACCCCTGCCACGACCACCAAAATGACCACCCCGAGGGGAGTCAACAAGGGCCCTGGGACCACGCGGTGGATCTCTGCCAAATGGTGCAGGTCCGTCGTCAGGACCACGAGGACCGACTGGGGGGGCGACGGTCTCCAAATCGCTGCGGAGAACGGTCACGGGAATTGAACCCGGACGATGGGGGGAATCGGGAGGACATTATCGCGTCATGCTATCATGAAGCTATAGACTGGGTTAGCGCTCCAGCACGTTCAATGTACAGTGCAAATCAGCCCAAGGCGGTTGGAATGCAGAATGCATCACACACATATCCAGAGAATGGAGAACACTCGGGAGAGTCTGCACGTGACAGACAATGCACGGACCATATGAAGAATTAGAGGGTACCCGATCGGGTAAGGCGTAATTCTCAAGTCCAATATCACGTTTTTGTTTTGTTCCCTCGATAGAGTGCTCTGTACGGAGTACGTAGATTCAGATCAAATCCAAACAAGTTGACAGGTGACACGCAGATTCGATAACGGTACCGTGGAAGATAGGAAACTCTAGCACGTTAAGAAGATCGACAAAATCATGCGAGCTCCCTTGCGCCGGACGTTATGCAAAGTAATATCGAAGAATCAGGGAAATCCGGGAATATGTTAGGAATAGGAAGATGAGTTCGTGAGACTTCAAGGGGCTCGGCACTAACCCGATTGAACGCTAGTGTGGTGGATGTGCCTGCTAACTCTATTCAGGTACGGAGTACATTATGTATACATAAAGTACATGAATATCAGCACATAGGTGAACATAGACATAAAAATGGTACCTAGGTAGATAGTAGAGCAGATAGCAAAAGTAGTGCTTTAATCATTCAAATCTACTTCCAGAGAGTCTCAAATGGTTAATCGGCATGGAGGACTCACATGCCTGAGGCAAGCAGGCATTAACTACTCAGGCATTAAGGCACCAAGGCACCAAGGCCCAGACTCATGCATTCCCCGCCAAATCCAAAAAAAAAAAAAAAGAGATCAACTGCCCCTCCCTTCTACAAACCCAGCTTCTTTTGATTTGGGCATCTTTTCTTGTCTCATTCTAAGAACCTTTTTTTGTGCAGACTTTTGACCTACACCTATCTCTTTTTCCTTTCCTTCCCAATCTCATCGCAAATATGAGCGCCCAGCAACTTTCCGCAGTCCCCTCCTCGGTGACGGACTCCGTCCTCCAGAGCTCACAACCAGTCCCAGAGGGATCTCATATAGTGAGCGGCATAGACTTTGATAAGTTTCAGGGACGAGATATCACCGTCGCAGAGATGGTGGACAACATGGCCCATACCGGTTTCCAGGGCAGTGCGGTCGCGGAGGCTGCTCAAATTATTAATGAAATGGTATGCCCAAAGATTGCAACATCTCAATGTTGAATCTTGGAACCCTTGGAATCTAATGCTCCGTTTTCTTAGCGCGCCTTCCGTGATCCTGAAACGGGAAACAAAACTACCATCTTCCTCGGCTATACATCGAACTTGATCTCGTCCGGCCTTCGTGACACTCTTCGCTACTTGGTGAAGCATAACCATGTGTCCGCCATTGTGACGACTGCTGGGGGTGTGGAAGAGGATTTAATCAAATGTTTGGCCCCCACATATCTTGGATCCTTCTCGACTCCCGGTGCTGGACTTCGTGCTAAGGGCCTCAACCGTATTGGCAACCTTCTCGTGCCCAACAATAACTATTGTGCCTTCGAAGACTGGGTGGTGCCTATTTTGGACAAGATGCTGGAAGAACAGGAGGCTGGAAAGATTAAGGCTCGGGAGACTGGGGATGAGGAAGATGAGGTTCACTGGACGCCAAGTCGCATTACCGAGCGACTGGGTCGTGAGATCAACCACGAGGATTCAGTTCTGTACTGGGCGGCCCGGAATGGAATCCCTGTATTCTGTCCCGCCCTGACGGATGGATCCCTGGGTGACATGCTCTACTTCCACACCTTCAAATCCTCCCCGCAACGGCTCCGGGTGGATATTGTGGACGACGTGCGCCGTATCAACACAATGGCTGTCCGGGCGACACGTGCCGGCATGATCATCTTGGGCGGTGGGGTGGTCAAGCACCACATCGCCAATGCATGCCTGATGCGCAATGGGGCCGAGCACGCAGTGTATGTGAATACCGCACAGGAGTTCGACGGCAGTGATGCGGGTGCACGGCCGGATGAAGCGGTGAGCTGGGGCAAGATCAAGGCGGATGCCAAATCTGTCAAGGTGGGTCTAATGTCCTCTTCCATTGTGGGCCGAGCTAACACCGATCATTCGTTAGGTCTATGCTGAGGCTACGGCAGTATTTCCTATGATTGTAGCTGCTTCCTTTGCTCGTGCCGAACGACAAAACTAAATTCACTTCGAGTCTCGGCAACTGGTTCCCAAGCAATGCGGGAACCCGTCGAGCAATGGTTCCAAAGAGCCAATCAGTATCCACGAAAAGTGATCCATCTGAGGTCAAGGCCTTTCTAGATCGCGCAATCATCCGAGGGATTGGTAGAATTTCTACAATCTGTACGGAGTACAAGCGGGATTCTCAGATTTAGTATGATCAGTGATCGGCCTGATGTGCCTCTAGCTATTGTGCCTGAAACAGAACCAGTCCCAGGGATTCAAAGACTCAGTGGCGACCTCGGGAAAGGGGGTGAAATCCCGATAAGCCGATTTCGCCACATGCTCAGGATATTCCTGTGGGGATTCAGCACACCGACTTTGTAGAATATGGCCCTATGGGAAGTATATAGGTCCATTAGATAGATAATCAGCTGATCCGAGGGCTTTAGCCCTATATGCATATATATCTACAAGGTACTTCTTCTATACATCAAGTACTCCGTAGGTACTTTGATCCAAATCCAATCCAGCCTAGTTCATACCGAGACCCACTGCCACCCCCGGACTCGCTCCCTTATCTTTTTGTTTTTCTCTTTTTTTTTTTTTTTCTTTTTCGTTTTTTTTCTTTTTTCTTCTCTAACTCATTTTCTGCTTCTTTTCTTCTTTTCTTCTTCTTTCCTTTTTTTTCCCCCCTCTTTACTTCATCTCATATCTCCTACAATTCGTTCTTTTTTTCCCCTCGAGGGTCGGACCCCTTCTCTCCACTCCGGGGCCGCAACCTTCTTCTTATCCGATAAGACCTTATCTTTATAGGACCTCGAGAGTCTGTTTGTATACCCATTGGAACTTTGGGGGTTTCCAATTAGAAGGAAATGGACCCCGTACCCAATGTGACAGTCTCCGAGACTGAGGATACGGTGAGAACGAATACAGAAACCGACTCAACCCAATCCCCCCAATCATCACGTTCAACTCAGCCCGCGCCAATACTGCCCTCAGAAGAGCTGGAACATGCATATTGGGCAGAGTACGAGGAGGACACAACGGTCCCAGATGAAGAGGAGATGAAGGAGATTGACGGCGGTGATTCGGATTACAGTGCCAGTGATCGTAGGTGTCAATCTGGTAAAACAAGATCACGGAACATCTCATATTAATTGACCCTATAACAGACAAGTATTGGGAAACAAATTTCTTTCGGGATTTGGGAGATCCCGAATACATTCCTACCGAAAAAGCCCGTCTTACGTGGACATTTAAGGGTGTTCGGGGCACCCCCGAGAACCCCAATCGGCACAAAGTCATTCTCTCCCCGCCAGCATTTGTCGGGGGTTATTGGTGGAGAATCAAGTTCTATCCTCGGGGGAACAATGTCAACGCGTTGAGCGTCTACCTCGAATGCTCTACCACAATGCCCGCTTCAGAGGGCAAGCTTCCAGAGATGGAATTTACGGTTCGTCGTGGCCCAGCCGATGCCTTGCTGGATGAGAATACCCCGGAGATCCAAATCAAAACCGCGGCCACAGATGACGCGGCAGCATGGTTCGAGAACTACAAGTCTCAATATCCTGCGACCACGAACAACTCCCAATCTGATCATGGACCCTCGGATTCTTGGCGTGTGCCCGCACAGGTCGGTGTCATTGTATACAACCCACAAGAACCACGCACTGGTTGGATGCAGTCTTCTTGTCATCAATTCAATAAACACAACCTGGACTGGGGGTGGACATATTTCCACGGCCCATGGGATCAAATCCATTCACGCCGGCGGGGTCAACATCGTGCCCTCCTGACCAACGACACCCTCTCATTTGATGCGTACATTCGTGTAGTGAATGACCCCACCAAGTCCCTTTGGTGGCACCCAAGTGATTCCGAGCCAACTTGGGATAGCATGGCCTTGACCGGCTATCGACCTCTGGGTGACTCGATCATCAATCATAGCCCAGAGGTAGCTGGACTTGCCTCGTGGCTGCACATTGCGCCATTTTGCAAGATCATTCAAGATATCGACGTGCTTGAACATCTCACAAATGCTGATGCGAGGCCAAAACCTCTATGTGACGCTCTGCAAAGGCTTCTGTGGCAGCTTCGCCGCCGGACACTCTCCCCAAGCTATGTCGATACGGATGCCGTGACCACCACTCTGCGCAATCTGCACGAGTTTTCGAGCGATGTGTCGGAATTTTGGGAGCGCTTGCGTCGCACCATGGAGCTGGAGCTGAAAGGAACGGATGCCGGCAAACAATTCGCTCACCTCTTTGACAGCCCAGTTGTACATAGTCCGTCTTCTGATGGCGAAGCAACTGTGAACCAGTTGCCGACTGACTTCAACTCGCGTATTTACGTGCCAGTTGATCAAGCCAAGTCTACCTCCGAGGCCGTCACTCGATACTTGAGTGCTAAGCCCGGTCGTTGGTCGCTTCCATCACTTCTTCATGTTGAATTCGGCCGTCATACTCTGGACAATTCCAAACGCTGGCAGTTGCGGTATGACAAAGTGGAGCTGGATGAGGAGCTGGATCTGGCTCCTTGGGTAGTTGATGGCCAGGGTAGCAAGTATGTCCTTTATGGCTACATTGTTCATCGTGGTCGCCGCACCTCTGGAAAGTTCTTTAGCATCCTTCGCCCAGCGGGGCCGGGGACCACATGGCTGGCTTTTGACGATGGCAGTGACAACCGTGTGGAGTGCTTGACACAGAAAACAGCCATGGGTCCACACCTTGGACTTGGTCCTTCCCAAACTGTCGATCATAAGAAGGGCCATGACGTACCTGTCGTGGCAATGTATATCCGTGGCGATATGATATCCGAGCTTTTGCCTGGTCCCCAAGGGCCTTGGGAAGTTCCCGAGACCTTGAAACAATTCTATGAAACAGGCGTGTACCACACTGGTGGCAAGCCTGCGGATCATGTCCAGGTGGAGGTTTATGCGCTTCCCCAATATGATCAGCTGACCAGCCTGTTTGACTCCTACGATCTCATGGCGCAGGCCAAAGCGGCGAACAGTGTCATGTATATGGCTCTTCCCCGCTCATCCCGGTTGGTTGAACTACGCAAAAGAATTGCTATGTGGAAATCTTCGGGCTCCGAACCCATTAGTCCCGAGCGGGTTCGTTTCTGGCAGATTGGTAACTCCTTTGTTCAGTCTAAATCATCGTTGGCATTTGATCGCACTACAGATCTGAATGTCCCACTGGATCCATCATTGAACACTATACGGTTCTGGATGGAAATCATCTCAGAGGGTACGTAATTGCATTGCCCTTTATCTCTAACCATCGTCACTTGCTAATTTCTAGCAGAGGATGCTCAATTCTTTGCCATCCCAGACCCTCCTGCGGGTACTACTTTAGAAGATAAGCCGGACGAGCTTGTCGTCGAAGACTCGATACAAGAAGCTTCTGGAACTGTGACATCTGTGGCCGAAGGAGATGCCGTAGCTAGCTCATCGGGAAATGCTCCCCATGAGGATTCTGTTGCTTCGGATCCCGTGAACTCGATCGTCGATGATGGCTCATTGCCTCCATTAGCCACACTTTCTCTAGAGAACGACGCCTTTGCTACAGAAAGGGCTGAGCAGGAAGTGGTACTAGCTGCTGTCGCTACCCATGATCAACAAGCCACGGCTGCTCTTACGGCAACCCCATCAACAGAAGCCACAAGTTCCGCTCCTGCATCACCTTCCGATATTGAGCCTTCTGCACTAGAGCTTGTCCCTCAAACACAGGTCCAATCTGAGGTAAAATTGCCTGTTGGCCATACATACTACTTTATTCAAATGTTCGACGTGGACAGTCAAGCGCTTCGTACCGTGGGGTCATTCTTCTCCAAGCTTGATGCCAACGTCAAAGCCTCCATCCGACGCCACTTACAGCGGCCCCTCCGTCAAGACTTTCTCATCTGGAAACGAGTCGACGGTGCTGCCGTCACCACGGTCTCGCCTGCTGATAGCTTCGACGACGTGGTGGCTCCGCACGGCGCATGTTTCATCGTCGGGGATAAGTTGACCAAAGAAAAGTAAGTACACATATGTATTGGTTTTGAAGGTCAGCTCTTTGGTTCTAACACAAACGCAGACGTACTCAACTTGCTTCTTCGGGATTGTTCACCAGTCCTGACCGTCTGGTCCAGTACCTGTGGGCCGATTCTCGCGGGCATCCAATTCAAGGCTTCACCGGCATGAAGACCATTGAAGCTACCTTCACAAACGACTACTACAGTGGTTACTTCTTGAAGGGTTATCACCATGGCAGAGGCAAGCACATCTCTAGCACTGGCATGGTATACGAAGGCGACTTCATCTTTGGCCGGCGTCACGGCCAAGGCAAGCTAAATTACCCCACCGGCGACTGGTACGATGGTGATTGGGTCGAAGATGTATGCCATGGACAAGGTACCTATGTTGAGAATACAACGGGCAACAAGTATGTTGGCGGCTTCAAGGATGGTAAACGCCACGGTAAGGGCATCAGCTACTGGGAGGTGGCCGATGCAGAGTTGGACCTATGCCAAATCTGCTACACCGAGGAAATGGATGCAGTCTTTGCCGAGTGTGGTCACCTTTGCTCCTGTGTGACTTGTGCGAACCTCATGAGTTTGTGTCCAATGTGCCGCAAAGAGGTCAAGAAGGTGATCAAGATTTATCGGGCATAGGCTGGTACTTGGTGTGTCTTTCAGAGTATAGACGGGATGTTCCTTTGATTTCGAACGATTTGAGCACTTACATTCATTTTAGCGAACGGTGATTTAGGATATGGGGAGTGATGCGATTGATTTTAGAGACTCTGATTTTGGTTAATATACACCACCCAGGTGGATTTTTAGATTGATATACAACGAGTTTTATACCTCCTATACTTGACCATGTCTCTTGTCTTTTGGAATTAATGACGAACTGTAGTATACGTGATTGAGCACAATCATACATCAAAGGTGCTTTTTTTATTTTTTAATTCTTTTTTGAAACACAGTTTGATCTTGATTGAACAAAAGGTATATCCAATGCGCCGGGTCCCGGACCTAATACATGATGCTTTTGACTTGCCCGAAGAAAAACGAATTATACACAAAGGGATGATCACATCGATCATTTGCTGGCCTTCTTGGTCGACTTCTTATCCTTCTTCTCGACCTTGCTCTTGACCGGCTTCTTATCTTCCTTAGCCACGATCTTCTTCTCACCCTTTGGCTCATTGGTAGACTTCTTGGAGGCAACAGCCTTGGTCTCTTCTTCCTGGCTTGGTGTCGCTGTTTCGCTTGTCTTCTCTGATACCTCTACTTTGCTCTTCTTGGGCTTGTTCAGAACGCCCTTGGGGTTCAGACCCTTGCGACGAATGCGGTTGCGCTCAGCGCGAGCAATGCGCTCGGCATCCTCAGGATCCTCGAATGAGCTGAAGGCACCACCCTCGAAATCAGCGGCGTGTCCATTCTCATCAACAATCGGGGTCCTGTCAATGGACTCGTCGTCCGAGGAGGCAGCCGAGGAAACACTGCGAGACTTCTTGGGGCCCTTAGAACGGGGCTCGGTATCGTCCGACTTCGTCACAGGTGTCGCGGCAGTCTTCTTGAGCTTGCAGACGTAGAAACCGTCAACATTCTCGCGATGGGGGAAGTAACGGCGGGTGAGCGCCATCTTGGGATCGAAAGTCTTGCCCATATAGCTGAGGAATCCAGGGCTACCGAAGCCACCGAGACCGGTGTCCACGATCTTAACATTAGGACGCTTGCGGAGAACATACTGCACAACGGCCTCGTTCTCTTCGACTGTGACACTGCAGGTAGAATAGACAACGTATCCACCGGTCTTGGAAGCGTGGTCGACGGAATCAATTGCAGCCAAAAGAAGCTGGCGCTGCATGTGGGGAATAGCGAGGAAATCACGCTCGTTCTTGGAGGTCTTGACACCGGGATCCTTCGAAATGACACCAGTACCGGTGCAGGGAGCATCGAGCAACACACGATCAAAGCCACCCATGGCCTTGGGGAAAGCAGTACGGGCATCCATATTTGTCACAATGGTGTTCTTGCAGCCGAGACGGTGAATGTTACCAATCAAACCCTTGGCACGGGGCTTGCTGGCATCGTTTGCAACTACACAGCCAGTGTTGCGCATCAAGGCGGACATGTATGTCGTCTTACCACCGGGAGCAGAGGCCATATCGAGGACACGCTCATTGGGCTGGGGAGCGAGAGCCATGACAGGGAGGAAAGAAGAGGCCGCCTGAAGAATGTAGTGGCCAGCCAGGTACTCGGGGGTGGCACCAAGGGGAACCGGGGATTCGAAAACTTGAAGGCCAACCTTGGACCATTTTCCAACGGGCTCGAGAACAACACCACGGTTGATGAGGGCCTGAGCAAGGGATCGGCGGTTGGTTCGCAGAGTGTTGGTACGGATAACGACAGGACGAGGAGTCTCGTTAGCTTCGAAGAAGGCAAAGGCCTCCCTGGGTGTGAACAGGTTGAACAGCTTCTCAGCCAGGAATCTAGTGTAGCCGTAGTATGTGCAGATATCGTCGAGCAGGAGATCGATATAGTCGGTACGTGACTTGCCGGGCAGACCGAGGGTCTTCAGGTCACCCAGAATTCGAATGGTATCGGTGATGCGCTGGCGAAGTAGCTGCAGATCGGGGGCGAGTCCCTGCTGGGCTTGGTCGTTGAACACATCGGGTGCAGCGATATTGGTCTGCATGGCGGCTTCCTGCATTTCTTGCTCGGCGGCTTCCTCCTCCTCTTGTTGTTCAGCATCCAGCTTCCGCGACAGACCCTCGATGTTGGCGGCGGTCAATCTCTCTTCGGCATCTGAATCCTCGTCATCGGAGAACATGGCCCCACGGGTGTGGCCCTCCTCGTCAGAATCGACAACCGAATTATCATCCTCTAAGTCCGACAATCCTTCAACCTGATCATCGCTATCCATTGAGCCTTCACTGATCCCATCGAGATCACCGAACTCATCGTCCTCCATATCATCCTCCATATCCTCATCATCATCAGACATAGGCACCGGCACAGCCTTCTTTGTGACTACGGGCTGCTTCTTCAATTCCTTGGGAAGAACCTTGGGGGTAGCCCCGCTGACCTTCTTCTTCTTGGGGGCTTCCTTCTTGGAGACAGCCTCATCGGCATCAGATCTGCGACGCTTTGATGGTGCAGGCTTCGGAGGTGCCTCAGCCCCGCCAGCCTTGCGTTTCTTGAGCATTGTGACTTTTGACTCATCAAGCGGGGCCGGAGGGCCCTGCTTCTTCATACGGCGACCGACACCCATTGTAAAAAAAGTGGTGTATATGGGGACGTTAATGGTGTTTGCTTTCGGGGGAGCTTGTAATTTCTTTCCGTCTTTTTTTTTCTCTTCGGGCGGTGACTGCCAGCAGTACAGAAGTAATGAAAGGCGGTGTGCTTATTTACATTGGTGCCTTTTACTGATGCCTTGTGGCCCAGGTGTCTATGCCCCATCGGCATCAAGTGCAACATATCCAGATAACTAATGCTCTAACTTATCGCCTTGGGTGTGCTTTCTCTCTCTTTTTCTCTCTTCCTCTGAGAATCTCTATCATTCAATTCAAGCTGCTCACTATGTCGGAGCTAACCTTCACCAAATCATTTTTGTCCATGCTGGACTCACGGCCTATCAAGCTTCGCGCTGATCATGTCTTCGACCCAGAGCAAATTGGACTACGAGTTCCCGTGAGTCTTGATGCGAACATTCTTCTAGTTTGGTTTACCGATGAATATCATCCTAACATGCATTCTGAAAACGAAAGTACACCCTCCCCCGACTTTCAGCCCCGCATCCTCCGATGCCCAAAAAAGTGAGGTCAACACAGGCACCAGGCTCATCGAAATCAATCACTCTCCGCGTCAAGTCTGCCCGCAACCCTGCTCTGGAGTTTTTGATCTCCAGTGCCCCTCTCTCGACCACCTCGGTCCAGGACATTCGGGATGCTGTACGAGTGCGCGTCACCGATGCGCAGGGAGGACAGGTTCCACTAGAGAAGATCAAGATCCTATACAAGCGCAAGCCGGTGACTGGAACTGGGAAGACACTGGCTGAGGTATTGGCAGATGAGCCCGCGATCTTGGCAGGAGGCAAAGAAGTCGAGATCGGGGTGATGATCATCGGTGGCGCCCAGGTGGTTGAATCTGCTGTGACTCAACCGATTATTACAGAGAAGCGAGATGAATCACCACCCAAGGCCGCTGTAGGTCCGAGTGGTGAGGAAGTGTTGCATACAGAGGCGTTTTGGGATGACCTGCAAGGCTATCTCCAGCAGCGATTGAAGGACGAGGAAGAAGCAAAACGGCTGAGATTGGTGTTCAAGGAGGCTTGGAGTTCAACCAAGTAGAGTGGATCTACCCGACAGCGCAGCGAAATAATGTCAATATCGAATGATACCTGTATTTGTCCGAGTTTCACATATGCCTCGTGTCCATGAAAGTCTCACACGACTATGTTCAGTGAATGGTATGGATTTAAATGTTATACACGCCACATGGGCTATTAATGTCCAAGGCACACGCTACATAGACAATTTCGAGAACCGGGAGAAATAAAACATATCCACAGCAAGCAATATGACAAATATTGAGATCATTTGAAAACCTATCAGGCACTTGAAGCCAGATCAAGACCCTATCGCCGAGAACAAATGGAACAGTATTCGAACAAGATATGCTCTACTTCCCATAGAAAGCAGAGCAGGTACCGAAACAGTCGAAAGAAAACATCCACGCACGCCAGGGAATCTTTGTCGAACATGGTTATCAGCAAAGTAAAAAAAGTACACATGTTGAAAAAGAAGAAAACGAAGCAAAAATCACGTAGGGCAGCATAATCGAACACACAGTGTGGGTGAGCAGCGTTGCAAATGCTCAAAAAAACCGGTCCAATCGCTCATCCAAGTTCATGGGATCATACAGAAAATGATGAGCAAACGCGAAAAGATACACACACAGGTATAACGCAAGAAGAATCATACACGGGGCTTTCATTCCGTCGTTTTAATCATCGGGAAAAGGCCTTGGCCACACCGTCTCCACCACCACCAACAACCCATTTGCCATCACGGCTCCATACCACGGAACAAACTCCTTCATCACGCATCAGTCGGTAGCTTGTCAGCTCCTGGGTACAGCTGCGCTTTTCAAGGTTCCAGAATCGCAAGCTTGCATCATGGCCAGCTGAAACGAGCTCACGCCCATCCGGAGACAATGACAGTGAGGCTATCGCAGCAGGATGAGCAAGCATTGTGTATGTACATTGACCTGTATCAAATGTTAGCGTGTTGTGGTGCATAGCAAATGTCCTCAAGATACCACTTACCACTATTCGCATCAAAGAAGCGGATGTATCGGTCCTCGTAACCACTGATGATTACACCCTCAACGTTGCTTGATCCAGTAGCTCCGTGAACCACTGTTTCTTCTTCGGCCATCGCGCGGTTGGGATCAAGATTAACGGTTCCATCAAAGCCGACAGTGGTGGCGACGACTGAGTTCACCCCAGTAGCAGGTGTACCATCATATGTCTCGAGACTGGCCATGCCCGCAACTTCTTCGCCAGTGCGTGTGTCGTAGACAATGATAGAGGCATCCGAATAGGAGACGACAAAGTTGACGCCTGCAAGAGACAAGGGGCTGATGCATGTTGGGGAAGGAGAATTAGTGCGCGGGATACGATGAACAATGGTGTAATGGAGAGTTGTGGTTGGAGCGACACTGGGTTGAGGGACGTTTTGGATGTTGGAACCGGAAACCATTGACTTTGAGTTCGCCCGCTGACGGCCTTTTGCGACCGGGGGCGAGGAAGGTTGAAGAATGTCGCTGATAGCCCAAATCAAGACGGAGCCATCTGCTGCGCCGGACGCCAAGAGAATTCGATCAGATCCACCATACCGGCTGCTTGAGTCCCCAAAGACAGATCCTACGGTCCCGGGGAGAACACAGAGTCCCCAGACTGCATCTGTGTGACCCCCGTCTAGGGTGGCCTTAGGATCAATCCGCCCACGTTCCCATACACGCACAGTAGCATCCTGGCCACCTGAAAATACCCATCCGTCACACAAGATACGGCCGTCACTGGAGATGTTCTGAGACGGTGAGCAGGCGGCAAGAGAAATCACAGCGCCGTCGTGTCCGCGATGAGTAAAGGAGCTCGTAATGTCCAAACTCTGGTTAGAACCAGCTCCAGAGCTAGCCGAAGTAGACGGGATGATCCACCGCTTGATTGTTCCGTCGTCGCTGCAAGTGCAGATCTCGGGATATGTTGGGCTACCTCCGCCGGTGAAGATGACAGATCGAATCACATCCAAGTGGCCACGCAGCGCAAACCGATATCTAAAATCTTCCTGCTTTCCGAAGCTCGGAGCTGCATCCCGAGTATCAATTGCACCATCGCTCTTGCGCGTTGACCCCGAACTCTTTCTGCGGTGGGGGAGAGACCCACTCTTGGTCGACTCGGAGCGCATAAAATTGGCATTTGGGAAAACATCGGTATCCGGACGATGAAGCGGGACGGGTTCGGTGACCACGAGTTCCTGCTCCGCCGGTTCATCAAAACTCCACCCATCCACGTCCTCTGTTCTTTCCTCTGTCAGATTTTGCGGGTTCACATCCTCCCTGACAACCACTCGAGGGCCCTGGGCTTCGTATGCCTGGTTTGGGCGATCGTCTAATGTGCCATGTTCGTACACCTGGGTTCGACTTTGAATCGGTGCCACGGGGGCTTGCTGCGAATCCATTGACCGCCGATCCATGACGTCCCGAGATAGATACTGGTTTTGAGCACGAGCCATAGCATTATCAGGGTAGTGATTGGACATGGGTTGGTGGTTTTGTAAGGCCATTTCACGTGCCATGACATGATTTGTCTTCTGGCGTTGCTGCTGGAGATAAGCCTCCTCCAGGTTCTGTTGCGACAGCTGTGAATTGCCGTAAAGCTGGCCTGACATGTCGGAGTCGTTCATGTCAGGTGTCGGGTGGGAGGCAGGTATGACATGGTACGCGATTTCGTGAGAAGCTTTGGATAGGTATGCTCGGACTTTGTCCATGTCTTCAACTTGACCTTCATGCGGGTTTTCGTTGTCTGGTGCTTCGTCATTCTCATGGTCCGTGCTCGACTTGGGACGATGTGCTAGAGTAACAATTAATGTTCCGGCGTCGCATTCTGGGATACAATTCCGAGTCACATACCTTTCAGGAAGTTGACACTTTCGCGTGCAGTATCTTTGGGATCCTTTGAGTCTTCGGACTTTTCGTTGTTCGAAAGCTTCTTGACCTTCTCTCTCTCCCTTTTCAGGGCAGTTTCCATCAGCCGAACATGCTTCCCAAGGGACTCATGCAGGCGCTTGCTTGTGCGCAGATCACCCTCTAATCGGCCAATGCGAGACTTCATCTCTGCCCTTTCAATCTCCCATGCATTGCGATCGCGTTCATGTCGGTGCCATTCTGTCTGTAGGAAGCGCATTACACCTGGACAAGGGGATCAGTCAATGGCATTCAAAAAACCAGGTGGGTTCATGCTCACCCTGTAATGTGTATTCCGTCCCCTGTGGGCCATTCGAACCATCCATGCCGCCGGGCATTCCTCCGATCCCAGCCATGGCTGATGGAGATTGCCAGGACATCAACAAACACAGGACGGTTCAAGGCTCGGAGAGGTCAAGAACACTACAGGAGGTATCAAGGGCGAAACCAGGTCGGTGGTGAATCGAGTGACGTGTAAGGTGCGAGCTTCGGCTTCTCCTGACCCCGGTAAATCGTATCCGCAGTAAGCGAACCAAGTCCCTAATGGCGACGGCAAGGAACCACGTCCCACCCCGAGTCAGCCTGAGTATGAGGGGTCCGAAGTAGGAAGATCTAAAGGAAGGAGCAGGATTGGACAATGATAAAGAAAGTTATGAGAATGTGCCCTTCACTGATCTTTTGTTATGGTGAAGAGACGGCTTGGTCCTGGGGGGGCTGCTGACCGCCTTCTAGATGGAGAAGATTGGCCTGCACGTTACCTCCAGCCCTGGAAGTAGATGGGTGAGGAATTAGATGAATTGGAAGGGAATGGAAATTGCACTTGAGAGAACTTTTGATGTGATACGAGATTCAATAGGTTTCATAGGAACAATCAAAGTAGCGAACTTGAGAGTGGGTTGACACCTAGATTTTCAGGCACTAAGTATCACTAACTAACTAGTTAACTAGTTACGACTTCAAATTCACTAGTTAAGGCTGTATGTATATACCTACAGCATAGATGCACCACAGATTTAAATATTCCAAGTATCTGATGTGTATGAATGCGTGGTCTAAAATGCATGCTCATATCGAAATTGACAGTTAGCTCTTGCAAAAATAGAGCAATCTCATTTGACTCCAGATGTATATATGATGATATAACAGCTCAAACGAATGACATAGAACAGTTCCACAGGTGATAGAGTCAAATACTAACTTTGCTAGCGGTCTCATAGATAATCTTAATCATGTCATAGTACATTTTGCTCTAAAACTCTAGCTCTTCCACCTCCATTCCACAGTCTACACATGCCTTGACACCAATTCCAGTTTCTGGATTCTCAATGGATCGGCCCCATTGATGAACATGTTTCCGGCCAGAACCGAGATCGTCGCCAAAGTCTCCACCCGAAGCACCTTGTCGACTGCGTCGGTAGGCCTCCACTCTTGTGCGTTTCTTCAGCTCCTGCAGCTTCGTTTTGAATTTGGCCTCCCGACGCCGTTTCTTATCACCTTCTCGCCGCTCAAACTCAGCATCCAGCGCCTCTGTCGATCCCCATTTCTTCTCGGAGAACGCATATTCTTCGATCTGGTATCGTAGGTACAACATCATGCTGTTCCATGTAGACTTGTGTGGATTCGGACGCTCCAGGCGTGGAAGGAGCTCTTCGTCTCGAAGTTCAGCTGTGCGCAGGTGCATAAGCACGTATCTCTTCTCTTGAGTGACAACGGAGTACTTACGATCTGTCAAGAGATAATCTTCTTTGGCTTCCGTTTTGGTCAACAAACTGTATTTCTCTGGGTACTTCTCCTTGCAAGCATGACATATGCAACACTTGAGTTCTTCTTCCCATTTCCAATCAATTTCAAGACTGCCACATTCACGACATATCTTCTGCTTGCTTTTATCATCCAGCACACTTAGACCTGGTTCAAAGGGACCCTCCCGATTGCGCTTCAGTGATTGTAGTATTTGATGGCGTTCCCATTCCTTTTGTGTCATATGTGCTGGCTTTTGTATTTCTTTCCCATCCGGCACGTGTAGTTGTTTATTGAACGGGTCATCCTCCTGGGTCAAAAATCCACCCTTCGTATCGGTCATTTTGCTAAAATCATAGTCGACATAGCTTGTGAAGTTTCGAGCTGGTTTGATCGAGTCTAGTGGGCGATTGGAAGAAGATGCATCGCGCATATTAGCAGGGTGACTGGATGCCACCATCGAAGTGAACGAGCGTTTGGCGCCTGTTGCGGGTTGGGAGATATTCGGAGCGGCTTGAGATAGTTCGGCTTCACGTTTCTCCCGAAGAGCTTTAGCCTTCATGCGATTAATTTCCTAGAAGCAAGACTGGTTAGTTTGCGGGTTGACGATATCGCCGACTTGGAGGGAACTTACTATCCGTTGTTGTTCCGGAGTGATAGGAGCACGCGGGAGTGTTCCTGCCCCTGAGCCCTTGGATTGCAAAGGTGGGGTCGAGGGGCGTTCTGCTGCCATTTTGAAATTATTCTCTCAACAGTGATGGCCGTGTTCGTTCTCGACAGCTTGGGTGAAACGACTAGCAAGGCGGAAGGCGGAAGGCGGAAGGCGACCAGATTCCCCGATATGCCAGTCACGTGATAATATATAGCACGACGTCATTGGCGCATCCTCAGTGAACAGGAACTCTGAGATCAACCTTCGAAGATTTTTCAAGTTATCGGTCTGAAATGGCACGAAAATTGATTGAACCGAGAGGCTACGAGTCTCCAGCCGGATATTCGAAGTCTTCTTCTCGATCTTGGCCATACAAAACCTCACACACGCCCCCTACCGGCACATCCATAACGGCGTCGGTTCCCTCGCTCCAAATTTCTCGCCAATTGACCTTCCGATTTTGTGGCCCCATGATCTGATAAGAGGTAGCACCAGGCTTCATCTTGGTAGCACCTCCGGGACGTCTCCGTGCCTTTCCATCAATTACCGATACATTCGCGACCTCATCGACAATATTCTCGATGCTGTGCATGGGCAAAGTAAGATAGCCTGTATTATATGTGGCGAGCGCAGCATAAATGTAGATAAGAAACATCACCAGCCATGCCGGGATTGCCAGCGACCACCAACGATTGGGATAATAGTAGATGCCTAGCTGATGGAGGAAGGGCGATGGGAGATAGGACCATAGAAGATAGAACACTGAGTCGACCCGGTCAGTACGTGGGAGACTACCAGAGGTTGCGGCGGAACTTCGTTAGCACTTACAAAAAGCCAAGGATGAAGCTAGGTATAACACGAAACCATAGTATTCATAGGTAGGAACCTTAGGACTAGCGCGCGGAACGGTGGTTGCGCGGCGAGCCGACTTGGCGACTGCCGCCTCGGTATCGTTGGGAGTCTCTACATCAGAACTGTCCGGAGTAGTTGGGCGTGATGTGGTAGTCGAGAAGGGTGGGCGGAGAAGAGAAGTGAGGGAGGGAGAGGGCGGTAGAGGAGTAGGTGGACGATTGTAGAACGGAGGCGCAAATGCATTGGGACCATGGAGAGAGCCGGAGGATTGGCGAAATGGATGATTTCGCTGAATATTAGAAGAATCATCGGAGTCTGTATCGGAGAATGATTGATCTAGCGAGTAGTGTGACTGGAAATCCGCATCGTCCTCCACCTCAATCTCCTCATAGCCTGGGGAAGTGATACTCTCGTCTTCATAACTCTCTTGTGGTTCGTTCGGGGATCTAGGGTCTTCAGCCAGCAGAGGTGGAAAGGGCTGCTTGGCCTCGAACGAATTGAACGTCCTTGCCGAATTCTCCATTTTGCGACCTGACGAAGAGTTGATGTTGTTGGCATCTCCCCTTTTTCTGCAATCACCACCACATTCACCGCTTCCCGCGATCTCTACAATTGGACTTGAATTTTGAGGTTCATATTTCATATTCGATTCAGTCCTAATATCTATGACCATCTCCTACAATTCAAAGTATAAGCATGAATTATGTGAAGTAATTCGAATCTGATTGGATTTTTGTGAGGTGTGTAGCTTTCCCGTTGACACAGATCGATATCCTACCTCAAGTATAGACACTTGTCCCAGCTTAATCATGAATACAACATATGGATGAAGGTTAGAGCAAGACGTCCTAGAAATATATTGGATATGCACACGGAGTATATGCATCCAACTATGTTTCTTCCCTCTCGGATCGACTCCGTTGGAGAGGCGGCACACTCCGCTCTCGGCCCCTCCGACTTCAACGAAAATCCCCTGAGTCCCCTTACTCTACATCTTTCATTCTCTTTGTTTTTGGTATCCTCATTTCCCCAACATACTTTCTCAGAAGTGATCATCCACTATGAATGACACCGAATTGGAGCATGTCCGCGGGGTTTGGGAGCGAACCAAGCATGAAAGCCCTATCTATCGCCTACTTCTCTCCGATGTCGATATTATCAGTGCAGCCCGTGGCCATATGCAAGCCCGACTTAAGCTCACAGCGGAGCATGTCAATTCCCGAGGCACCATTCATGGAGCTGTTTCTGCAACCATCATCGATTGGGCGGGGGGAATGTCGATAGCCACACATGGATATGAGAGAACAGGCGCAAGCATTGATATCCACGTATCATATCTGTCAACTGCTACCATCGGAGATATCCTGGATATCTCTGCCATTGCTGATCGAGTGGGCAAGTCAATGGCCTTTACGACAGTCAAAATTTCCCGAGTCATCGATGATGAAGTCGGCCCCTTGGTTTCAAAGGGCTCACACACAAAGTTCCTCCCTGTCTCCAAGGAGAATCGCGAACCTAAGAGCTGAAGCCTTGTGCTAAACCTGTTGTAGATAGACATAAACATTGCTCTGATTCTTCAACGTCGCCCAATTCTACCAGTCTTACCCAGGAACCTTCTATTTCTATTCATGCCCTCCCCGTCGAAGATGTTATGCTACCATCCACACAGAGTTCTTGACCAGTGGTATAGTGTGCTTCGTCACTGACCAGGAAAAGGGTCGCGTTGGCAACATCCCATGCGTCGCCCATTTCCCCCATTGGAACTTACGCTTGACGCATCTCCATGTATCTTTCCGCTTGATTATCCGCCGCATATCTGGATATCATATATTTTGTGTACGGGGTATCCATGAGCCCAGGAGCAAACGTGTTCAGACGGACATCATTGGGTGCATAGATGACAGCCGTCGTTTTCATCCACTGAATGATGGCAGCCTTCGTCGCAGCATATTCAACCTGGGGCTTTCCAATGTACCTCAAGCCGGCGATGCTGCCGACGCTCACCACTACACCACTGCCTTGGTGCTCTATTATGGGGAGAACGTGCTGGCACATCATAAACACACTCTTGAGGTTGAGGCTCACCCGGGAGTCCAAACTTCCTCCAGCATTGTAGCAGGATACCCCGGCTCTGACCTTCCAACGTTGTTTATCAGAATGTCAATCCTTTCGTGTTTAGCCATACAAGCTTCTACAAGGGACTTCGTTGATGTAGCCGATGTCATGTCTGTTCCCATGACATCGCAAGTTCCACCCTCGGCCTCAATATCATTTTTGGTGGCAACAGCCGCAGTAAGCGTACGACTTGCCACCGAAGATTTCTGCACCTTGTCGAGCTAGGAGGATAGCGATGGCAGCACCGATTCCCCAGCCGTCGGATTGGCTTTAACCGAGGCCAGTGATGAGGGCGACTTTCCCGTGGAGAGACAACATGAGGAAATGTCGACGTGCAATCGAAGTGAAAGATGGAAGGGTTATATTAAGACGTGAGGATATATAGATATGGAAAGCCATTGATCTCAATGCTTCGGTCAAATATCGAGACCATCAAAAAGGAATTCTCCCGACGAGTTTCCCGTTCGGCACACTCCCGATATACAACGCGCCTGGGGCAGGGGTTTGAGTCCTTCGAAGGCTAACCAGCTGCCATGAATCAACATTTCCAGATATATGTAGTCTCCTAAAAGTACAGAAAAAGCTTTAACAAAGATGCCTCACGAACAATATTAGGGGACAATCAGCGGTCATATTCCAAAAGACCTTAAAAAGACCTCCAAAAAGATTGAAAGATGATAAGTGGTCTTGAAAGTAGCGCTGAACGTTCTCTACGGTATATACGAGCGATTTAGATATTCCAAGTGCTTTGGAGTAGGGCATACATCGGGTTCCTGAGACTATCGAGTTGGGATTGAGAAATTCCTATGCTTATAAGGACTTGTGCATAGGTTGGCGACCCAACCACCCGCCATATGCGTACGTCTATATATTTAGACTATACGCCATCACCTCTCTAAAGTGACTCAGATCTCTTTCTGAAAAGAAATATGTTTTCAAGTACGTCGTACATGTACGGAGTATGATTTGAGAAATTGTAACCAAATTGTAACCAAATTGTAATGCAACCTTTCCAACGTAGATCTTAGATTGAGTAAGGGGTCTTGGAAAAGAGGTGAGAAGAGAGGCAATTACCAAGATCTCACGTTTAGGTTTTCATACAATCTACTCGTACATATGTATGTTGTAATCCCTACAGTCCGCAGTGTACACCTGCGTGGAGATGATTACAATGACCTAGTGCTGATGTACTCAAGGCTGTCTACCCTCTCGACTCCGTACTTTGTACAATATATCTACCACTCAAGAGCCCCGAGACAGATCATAATTTCTTACAGACAGTTCCACGCAAGAACGGGAGTGCATATACCGGTTTCTTTGCATATATCTTGACAGGGTGAAATGTGCTGTAACCCCAAAGCTTCCACCAGCAGGACCCCTTGCATTCACTTAAACCCACGGGCAAAAAGAGCCGAGCAGTGTGTTCAGTACAAGTGTGCTCTACATTCTTGTATACAATCATGTATTCCGTATGCTTTGACAAGTTTTAAGCCAGGACAACTTCAAATCCCAAAAAAATTCCTCAGGGGGTGACTAGCGGGGATCGGCCCAATGGGTTTGATATCCACTGGGACTGTCGGGATTGAACAGGAAATCTCTTTTCCAGACACTCATACTTATTGTTCCTATATCTTCCACCCGTTCTGTATCGCTGTATCTCTGTCTCTCTGCATTTCTACTCCGTATATGTACTCCGTACTTTGCATTTCTACAGTTTCCTGGTTATATCGCCAAGACCAGACCCACAAACTATCGGATCGACAAGATTAGGTGGATGGAATTGATTTGCCCTATCAGCTCTTGCAGGCTTGAATGGGTCTACATATCTTTATTGTGTGGGTGACAGGTCCAAAATGGGGACCCATGTGAAGAGTATTGCTTTTTTTTCCTTTACTTCTCGAGATGATTCCGTATAGTCCCCTCTTTCCTGTCATATCCTTGGCTCTTCAGCTTGGAAGATTATACTCACTATGGACAGTATAACGGTATAGAATTCTCAAATTTCAAGAAAATGATCCTTGCTAATGTGATCCAGGATAACGACACAAATATTGGATCGGCGAGAGGCAACGCGTCGACCACCTCCGGTGATATCGCCAGTAGTCTCACCGGCGGAGGGGGTTCATCAGGATCGGCATTGATGATGACTTTATTGCCTGCACTCGCATACGCTTTGTTCTGGGTCAGCCTGTTTCTGATCTTTCGTCGAACTCAACGCCGATGGTATGCTCCGAGATCCTACTTGCCCGACATACATGAGCATCAACGGAGCCCCGAGTTGCCTTCTGGCTGGGTGAACTGGCTCGGAACATTTTTAAAAATCGAAGACAATCACGTGCTCCATCACTCATCACTAGACGGGTATCTCTTCCTGCGATTTTTGCGCGTGCTGGCTGCAACATGTCTGACAGGCTGCGTGATTACATGGCCCATCCTGCTGCCTCTTCATGCCACTGGGGGCAACGGAAATACTGAGCTCGACATCCTGAGTTTCAGTAACATCCAAAACCCTAATAGATACTATGCCAATGTTATAGTGGCGTGCGTTTACTTCTGTAAGTCTTCGGTACCCACCCGCAAAGCAACCTCCTGACGAGTATAGCGTTCGTCTTCTATGTTGTGGTGAGAGAAAGCCTGTACTATGCAAACCTCCGTCAGGCCTACCTCAACTCGCCTGCCTACGCATCTCGAATGTCATCCCGTACAGTCCTCTTCATGTCAGTTCCGGATGTGTACAAGAACGAGGACAAACTACGACAGGTCTTTGGGGACTCGATCTGTCGTATTTGGATTACCTCCGACTGCTCAAAGTTGGAAAAGATGGTCAAAGAACGAGATCAATTAGCCGAGAAGTTGGAAACCGCAGAGACCAAACTCATTCGGCGAGCAAATAAGATTCGCACCCAAGCAATCAAAACAGGTGAACTGAATGTTGAGATGTGCCTAGACTGCGAGTCAAGCAACCCGGCATGGTCCCACAAGGTCGAACGTCCTATGCATCGACTGAAACCCTTTGGCGAAAAGGTCGACTCTATTCACTGGTATCGGGCTGAACTCGCAAAGAAGACCGAAGAAGTATCGAATCTGCAATGCAAACATCAAAATGGTCAAGCAAAAATGCTCAGTGCAATATTTGTCGAATTCAACACCCAAACTGATGCACAAGTCGCCCTACAAACCCTGTCACATCACCAGCCGTTCCATATGACGCCTCGCTTCATTGGAGTTTCACCTAGCGAGGTTGTATGGTCGGCGCTGAATCTTAGCTGGTGGCAACGAATCGTCAGGCGCCTCGCAATTCAGGCTTTTCTGGCAGCGATGGTCATCTTTTGGTCGTTCCCTGCCGCAGTTGTTGGAGCAATCTCGAACATCACGTATATCTGCACTTTGATTCCTTTCCTCGACTTCATTCTTGAATTGCCCGATTTCATAACAGGAGCGATTGAGGGTCTTCTGCCTGCTGCGGCCCTAGCGACGCTGATGTCTCTAGTGCCGATCATATGTCGCAGTACGGTTGCCAAGTTCGTCTTGTTCGTCGGACCCCGCTGACTTTTATGTAGTATGTGCTAGGCGAGCCGGAGTCCCATCCATGGCACGAGTTGAGCTGTTCACACAAAGTGCCCACTTTGTCTTTCAAGTGGTACAGGTATTCTTGGTCACGACCTTGACATCGGCTGCGTCGGCTGCTACTGCGCAAATTGTGAAGGATCCCCTCTCGGTCAAAGATCTACTGGCGCAGAACCTACCCAAGGCGACTAATTTCTACATTTCTTACTTCATGCTGCAGGGCCTAAGCATGAGCTCCATGGCCCTCCTTCAAATTGTCAGTGCCCTGGTGTTCCAATTCGTGACAACGTTCTTTGCCTATTCCCCTCGTCGACTGTTTCAAGGATGGGCCGAACTCGCCAGTCTCAGCTGGGGCAATGTCTTCCCCATTTTCACCAACATGGCAGTTATCGGTAAGCGATGCCCTACTCTGGCTCGAACGAAGATTAGCTGACCCGGTTCTTTTTTTAGCGTTGACCTATTCATGCATCGCACCTCTGATTCTGGGATTTGCCTTCCTCGGACTTTATCTTGTATACCAAGCCTACCGATACAACTTCCTCTTCGTATATGACATCAAAATCGATACAAAGGGACTAGTCTACCCACGAGCCCTGCAACATTTGTTAACGGGTCTCTACCTGGCTGAGATTTGCTTGATAGGACTTTGTGCCATCAAGGGCGCTATCGGCCCAGTAATCATCATGGTCTTATTCATGATTGGCAACATCCTAGCACACATGTCGCTCAATGATGCACTCACTCCACTGAATACTTTCTTACCGCGATCCCTTGACGCCGAAGAGGAGATGCTCCAAGAGAAAGAAGATACAGTGGCAGCGATTAACGAAGAGCGCCGCCCACGTGCAATGGCCTTCTGGAGATGGTTCCATCCAAACGTCTACAAAGATTACGCAGCGTTGCGTCAGAAGGTTCGTCGCAATCTCGAGGAGGTTTCGTACACACCAGAGGAGATGCGTACAGCATATTTCGAGCCATGTGTAGCATCGCCACCTCCAACTTTGTGGATCCCACGCGACAAATGGGGTTTCAGTAATCATGAGGTGTTGGAGACTGATTCCATAATCAGCATCACGGATGAGGGTGCGCACTTGAATGAGAGGAATAAGATCGTGTGGGATAAATACGACCCACATCTTCCTTTACGGGAATTGAAGACCCTGTATTGATCTTGGCTACCTGCCCTGAAATTTAATGAGTTTATGAAAGCGATGGATTGGTTTATCTTTGTACATAATACGTTTCTGACGGGCAAATTATATTCAATACCGAGGCTGCTAAGCAAAGCCCTATCAAAAGCGCTCAAACATCGTGATATAATCGAACCGCTTCCTCGGTATAACCACCGTAGGCATTGAGATGGAAAATTCCATCAGACAGTCAAGGTAAAGTTGACAGCATTCACAGCACCATTATCCCGTGGGAAAAACTCAAAGGTGAACACAGTCGATTGGCCAGCGGAGATGACAGAGCTAATAGCAGATGAAGTGAGGATTACATGGGAGGCATCCCAGTTATACTGGTTGGCATAGGTCTAGATCAATATATTAGTATTTGGCAAAGACACAAGAGAAATGGGAATCAGCTTACAGCTCTCGCTCGTTGAATAGGACCCAGATATTGTGTCCAGTCATCTACTAGGTATGTTCCGCTCTTGGTCAAAGCCTTTACTGCAGCGATAGTTGGCAGTCCACCCCAGGTGATGGGAATTGACAGGTCAGAGCCAGAGACCGACGAGGCCACTGCCGATGTGGATGATAGAGTTGGGGTCTTCCATTGAACAATTTGGATGATAGGGGACGAATATCCCCCCGAGAATTTCAGGGTCAGAGTGGCAACGACACCTGGTGCTGTTGTTGATGAAAGGTGCTTGGATAGATACGAAGCTGTAAAGATGATATTCGCACCCGAGACAGAATAATCCGTTCCAGATGACAGCTGGGCGCCTGTAGAGTCACTGATGGAAGAGAGCGTGTTGCCATTGAAGATAAATGGAAGAGTCTGTGCTGTCACAGCTGTCCCATACTGATGGAAAATATAAGCCGACGACGACTGAGTGGTTGCAGACCCGTCCTCAGTACTGTCTGGCAAACTATTCGCAGTGGACTCGGTGGATTTTGCGATGATCGAGATCGAATTGGAGTCACGCCAGACTCCGGTGGCTCGGTCCAAGTGATCCAATCCATTATCCCACAACACGCAGGAGATGTCGAGACTGGCTGCAGTCTTGATCAAGAAGTCCACATACTTCCATCGAGCAGCGGGTTCGGTGTTAGTGGGCGAAGCATCGTATTCACCGAGAAGAAGAGGTACTTTGGGGAAAGCGTTGCGGATGTTCTGGAAGTCGGTCTTCACAGTAGTCTTGTCACTATCAGAGCCCCAAATGGTCTTTCCCCTGTTTGGAGTCAGTAAATATAACGTCAACATGCCGGATCTATAATCTTACCAAGCACTGAAGATAAAGTCGTCTAGAAGGAACCCAGTCAGTTTTAATCAATAACATAGACTCATTTGATGACTCACAAGGACTGTAGTAGTGGAACTGAATAGCATAAGGATTGGAAAATCCAGAAGGTGCAACAAACCAGTCTGAAGTTTTGACGCTATCCTGTCCACCTCCGACTAGAGTTACGACTCTTTGGGAGTTGAAGCCGCCGGCATCGTTGATAGCCTGGAGGAAGATCTTGTTCAGTTTGTTGATCTCAGCGGCATCGGCGGCCGTATTACACGGAGGCTCATTGATAGGCTCGAAGGCAACAAGATTGGATTTGCAGGCCAACTTGGTTCCAATTTGATACCAGAGTTTGTAAAACTTCTCTTCAATCATGGCAAGATCGGCCCCAGACTTGCTGACATCTGCCCAAACCCATGAATCTGTGATGTGTCAGTAAAGGCCTTGGATATACAGTTAGCCATCATACCATGATGCACATCAACGATGGCATAGAGTCCACGGGCAACAATCATATCGACGACGTCGGAGACTCGCTGCAACCATGCTGGGTCAACAGTCCAATCTGGTGAGCTTCCCGTAAAGTGATAGGCGTAGGTAACTGGAAGCCGGACACTCTTAAATCCGGAGGCCTTTACGGTATCAAAAGTCGACGCCACAACTGGTAAGTTATTCCAGGATCCCTCATCGGGAACAGCATCCAGGGTGTTTCCCAGGTTCCAACCGGGGTGTAGATTGGACACAAAGTCGGAAGCTGAGATTGCACTAAAGGTTCCAGTGCAAACTGCCCCTGACGCAGTAGCAGTAGCTGCCTGCGTTGTTGACTTGGTCGTCGTTGTCAGCGTGGTAGACGTGACCTTGGTGGTCACTACTGATGTTGTGACACTGCTGGTTGCCGTTCCTGGGAGGCATTGAGAGTACCCTTGAACAGCTTAGTATGAAGTCAATCTCGATGCAACTGCTGGGATTCACACACAGGGATTCTGCGAAGTACAGACGAAGCCTGACACGCAAGTGGTGCTACCTGTGTATCCAGTGCCTCCGCCTAAATGCCAATTAGCTCAAGGGCAAATACCAAGTCAGCGGGAAATCGATCCATACATTGTCCATAGCCTGCTACATCGGCCTGGGCTAGCCCACCGAGGGCCAAGAGGGCACCAGAAAGAAGAACCAGCATTGTGAGATCTACTATCGGAGGTAATCTACAGATCCTGATAGTTCATAGAGCTGATCATAGACAGATTGAGCATGGGAAAGCCATGCATATTTATATTGCTTTCTTCACATGCCCTAATCCTAGTCGTCAATCGGCGGACCGGCGGGCCGGGTCGTCTTCACGAATATCGCATTCGAGCGTGCCAAAACGCTCCCCTTGACCTAAATGGCCTGCAGATGAGTAGTGCTTATGCTCGGCAGACATTGCCATTGTATACTTTTGGGTCTTTTTTCCCGGGGAAGATTAGCTGTTTAGGCGCAATAACTCCTCCAATAGGAAGCCCCACAGATACAATGTGAGTCCTTTAATTTCCCCCATTTTAGGCAAATTAGATGTAATTCATTCGGGACAAGTCTGACGATAGGTACGCCGGACGGAGTAGATATTTTACGTATCGTCTAGTTTGTATGTCATTATTGATCCCGGTCCTACGCGGAGAAGGTCCGTGTTGGTTTTTACGAACCCGGTAGAGTATGAAGAATTATGTGAGAGCACGGTCATATGAACTCATCTATGAAGACATCATTTTACTACAGGATATGTAGTTACATCAGATCATATTCATTTCAAGTATCACGGCCTGTCATTTGCAATATTCACATCACTATGCACTCTTTGTTCCGATCTGACTCCATTATGGTATGGTCCCCTGTACGTACAGGGCGGGGTCGATGAGAATACTGATTTCGACGCGAATTCCGGTTTCCGGGGTACTGATTTACCGGGGGGTTAACCGGGGCTCCACCGTATGACCTTCTGTCAGGCGGCGAATAGCGCGGCCCACTAGTAGCTTGCTCATAGGGAGGAGGTGGTGCGTTGGGATCCTCGGGGTCAGGGCCATGTTGTGGGGGTCTAGGTTGAGAACCAACCGCAGTGGTAATACTTGAAGTTCGAGTAGGAACATTGCTCAAGCGAGGCGAAGGCGATGGCCGGTTGGAAGAAGTACTCGCAGACGTGTGACGATCGCGAGTTTGCTCATTCCTAGCATTTTCGCGTTGCTCTTCTTCTTGGAATTGAAGCGAGAGCGCATATGCATAATCTGCATCACTCTGTTCCTGAGTCGGCTCGGGGGATTTCGATGCTTCATGGGCATTTGGAGAAGGAGTGGGCTCTGTCAATGCTCGGGGCGCGGGACCGGGAACGGATGGGGCCGAAGGACCAGCGCCCACAGGGCGAAAGTCGCCAGAGTAATATTCTGTGTTAAACCCTGTCACATCGACAAGGGATTCCCAAACTACCTCGGCATGGCCCGCATAGCCGGCATCGGTAACCAAAGTATACAGTTGATGGGATTGCGGGTGTTTATATAGAGTCGAGAAATGGTCGTTGCGGAAAAGAATGGAAACCGCTCCAGGCGCAAGCTCAGTCGAGAGCTGTGTTAAGCCAAACGGGCTTAATTGTGTCGGATTCTCAATTTCGACAAATTGTTGGATGATTTCTATATCTGCCATGGTATTCTCTTCCTCAGGTTTAAGGCACTCGCCTCGCGCCACCCGGTCCTCAACCTCTTGTCTGCGAAAAGGTAGCATTTGAACATCCTCGTAATACTGAGCAGTGCGTGACAGTGCGGCATGAGTAGGACTGGACCAAGGGGCTAACCAGGCATGGATCAATGGTATACCAAACGTGCTGTATAGTCGAAGATCACTGGTTTCAAAGAAAGTGCCAAATCCTTCAGTAGAATCCTAACAATAGCTTAGTATAGGTATCCCTAGACGGGTACGTCATATGAACTCACCATTATCAAGCGTGGGTTGACATTCATGCCCGTATGCAACATTGTCAGGAATTGAGTGAGGGCCTCGATGTCCGGAAACTCCTCGTCAGGGCCCACGCATATTGTCAGCTCTTCAAACATCGCCTCGATTAGCAGGCCCAGAGATATTTGCTCGCGGGTTGACAGAGCTCTAACAATTGGTGGATGAGTGTTGGGGTTCGCTCGCAGTACCAATGCATTTATAAGGGCCAGCAGCGGACAGGGTCCGTTTTGATTTTGGACCAATATTGGAGATTCCACCAATTGACCACTTTGATCGGTCCACCGGACGTGTCGAATAGTATAGGTCTCTGATCTCTGCTCCTTTTGTCGTGCAGCTTCTGCGGCAGATAGGTTGTGGGTCGTTTGGCGTTGCTGTGGCTGTTGCACTGTGGAAGACAAAGGTTTTTGTTTCTCTGGCAATGGTCTTGTCCCGTTCACGGGCGGTTCTGAGTATAACGAAGACATAGCATGAGACCCAGTCTCGTCCCCCGAATAGGCAGTAGCGCTCGTCACACCCAAATCAATCAATTCGCAGGATGGGGCGGATGTCCCAGTAGATAGAGCGACAGGTGGAGTGTTGATTCCAGCATTTGATCCGAGCCTCCCTGCATTGGATGAAGATTCATAATGTGCGGGGGCATACTCATCCCCTTCAGGCAGGTCAGATGGCCTTACAGCGGCCGCGGGGGCATATGGACTAGGCTGCATTCCTTGTAGATATATTTCTTGGGGAGCCGAGACCTTGATGGACTGTTGAGACCCCCATGGGGAATCATCATCGACTTGCTGGCCGCCTAACACGGCGCGTTGCTCAGAATGAGAATGGGGACGGGGAGCCTCAGCCCATGGGGAAACCTTTTCGGGCTCATCCAAGAGAGAGAGTCGGGCAGTCATCGGGATATACCCCTCGGCTATAAGCTGTTAGCAAGATGTATCATCTGAAGCGAACTGTCAGAAGCAAGTAATGTCATACTTAGACTCAATGAATCACTATTTGAAGTCGCATATGAATCGCGCCCCCACTGATTGTGGTCTGAGAGATCTTGAATGTGCTCTGCTGGCCTCGGCTTCAAGAATGGGTTATTTGACTGCAGCTGTACCGGTGGCTCCCCGTTCGAACCCTGACCGGTGTTAGGCGTTGACCGCCACACATTCTCAGTGGCCCCTTGCTGTTGGTCTGCTATCAACGTAGAAGAGCCCCAGTGCCCGTTGGTATTTGCAGGTTCCTGGTATGCGCCCTCGTACAGCTTATACTGACCGGAGCGGCGATCATCCGGCCTTCCATTGTTATTTGGCCATGAGGTTGGCGGTTGGCTGGTTGGAGAACCCATCGGTGATCGCTGTGCCTCCTGCAGTGGCATCAAATCAAACGCAGGTGAAGTGTTGAGATCGGGGGAATAGATAGAGTCCTCAGATGGGAATCGGTTCAAACGATTTGGGCGGTGGGAGGATGCAGAGTTGGCTGATTTGGGTGAGCGTGCGTCCGATCGAGTATTTGACTTGCTAATGTTCTCCAGGCGCGGTGGGGGCTGTTTACGCAGGCCCATGAAGACGTCCGTTGACCGTCTTGGGAAGCGGAGGAGATGAAGGTTTGAGTTGGCTTATAGTTCTAAGGATGAAAAGACTAACAAAGCATTCAACGTCAATCGTGACAACACACTCAGAAAAATATATATCGTGGACCTGAGAGTTGATTCAGGATGTAGGCTCAAAATAATGACAAGCCATTTGAGGTATAAGGAAAACGCCTTGCGCTGGGGCTGCAGGGGCTGAAGTGCCCTGCCTGTATCCGTAATCGATGGGCAATAGCTTAGCGTTTAGCTTGAGCTCGGATATACTCGCCAGGTCAAGGGAAAGTTCTATTCAACAAAGCAATGAGGGAGGCAGAACATCTCAGCCACACTCTCTCTTTCTGTCGCAAGGCACCCGGATTCCGCAGATCCACACTGGACCTGGGGGAAGCTCCAATACCCAGTATGCGTATTTACCGTATTATTCACATGCACAAGTTGGCCTTGGGCATTGCCAGGAGAGAGGCGGTGATAGTACGGTATGGGATGGTATGGTGGAAACTATGACGAAATGGCGTGGGGCCAGCAATTTGAGGCAGGAATACTCAGGCATAACATTCAGGCAAGAAGGCATCAACTTCCCGGACTATCTATTCAGCCGGCTGTGAGTAGCCTCGTTCTCTGATTGGTTGGCGTTCTATCAGCCATAAAAGTCTCCAGAACAATTTTGTGGAAGAGCTCGAGGCACAGCTGTTCCATCGCCATCATGCATTCCTATATTCGCCCGGGCCAGTTTGTGGCCATCCGGCTCCAGTCGGATCAGTTAAGACTCATCCAGATTATCCCCGACACGTAAGTACTCTCTGCTCTATGCGGGGAAAGATTCCATTGCAGGAACTAACATTGGATCAGAGTCGTCAATTTGGGTAGATTTGGTAGTTTTACTGCCAATCAGATTATCGGACGACCATTCTATTTTACCTTTGAAATCCTGGACTCATGCGACGAGGCTGGCAACCAATTACGTGTCGTGTCAGCAACCGAGTTACACGCGGAGACCCTTCTTGCAGACGGGGAGGGAGACGGGGAGGGTGACGACGTGGATACTGGCGAAAATGGAATACCGATGCGAACAAATCGTCAAATCAATGACGAAAATTCCGCCCAGAAATTGACATTGGAGGAAATTGAAGAATTGAAGAGAGAGGCTGGTGGCGCGGGGAAAGACATTGTTGCAAAGCTTTTGGAGTCGCACACTGCAATCGACCAGAAGACTGCATTCTCTCTTGCCAAATACACATTACGGAAACGCAAGAAGTATCTGAAGCGGTTCACCGTCCTTCCACTGGATGTCGGCCTTCTCGCCAATTATTTGATCGAAGAACGCGATGCGCAAAAGTCGATGGAGCTACGCGACGAACACATTGGGCTGATCGGGTGCTGGGGTAATGTACATCACAGCGGAAACGTTGAGGTGGGTGAGGGTATGAAGCCGAATGGACGTTATGCCATTGTCGATGAGACCGGCGGACTGGTTGTCGCTGCGATGGCCGAGCGCATGGGAATTTTATATCCTCATGATGCCGAAGAAGACCCAACAGATGAGCAAGATGCTTCAGCCCACAATCCCGCAGAATCCCAGCCTCCCAATGGCCCCTCAAAGCCCCGGCGCATACGTCCTCAGCCGATGTCCGCTACCACCAACACCATCACCGTCATCCACCCATACTCACAACCGAATCTGTCTCTCTTAAAATTCTTTGGCTATGACACCAATAATCCCGATGAATCTCACCCACTCCACACTCGTCTCAAATCAGTTTCCTGGATGCAGTTGGCCGACCCCAATTCCGATCCGCTCTACGCCAACGAACCACCCGTCATACCCGCAGAGGAATTGGCCGAGCTTAAGCAAAGCAAACGCACTGCGTATTACCACAAGCGCAATCGATGGGGGCGAGTCAAAGCAGTTGTGGACGAGAGCCGGGCTGGTAACTTTGACGGTCTGATCGTGTCCACCTTGTTAGAGCCAGCAAGCGTTCTAAAGACAATGGTACCGCTCCTTGCGGGGTCAGCGCCTGTTGTCGTATATTCTCCGACAGTCGAGTCTCTGGTTGAATTGACAGACATGTACTCCACTGCTCGGAGGACCGCATTTATCAACAAAAAGCGAGAATTGGAGTCGCAGAGTTCCGAGGGAGAGGCCGTTGATTTGTCCTCTCTTCATGAAGAATTTGTAGTCGACCCGACAATTCTCCTTCCACCCACCTTGCAAACGTCGCGTGTGCGCCCTTGGCAGGTTCTGCCCGGTCGAACCCATCCCCTCATGACTGGACGTGGTGGAGCAGAGGGATATCTCTTCCATGGCATTCGCGTGTTCCCAACCGCACAGAATATCCAGGCTGCTGGAACTGTTCGCAAGAGACGGAAGGTGGAAACAACATCTACCCCGATCACTGATCGAGATGTGGAGATGACCTAGTTTTCACGAATGAACGCCCTAAACACCCAAAAATAGATCAAATAGCATTTCAATGAGCCCTTCAATGTACAGGTACAACTTATCTTTCATGTTTCATGTGGTTCCACTTTATAGCCCCTACCCCTGGTTTGGTGATACTGAACACCGAGTCAGGGTTAGTCTGGGGAGTTTGACTCCCAGATACGCAAGTACCCCAATATCCAAGTGTCTCTTGTCGCTACGCAAAGCGATCGTGGGTTTGAATCAAAAGTATCAAATTCATTCATGCGCTGAATTTCATCAAACAATATACAGCAACGCTCATCATCTAGAGACTCTTTCCCATGAACTTTCTCTTCGTGAAACTCAACCAGAACTAGAATGAATCAGTATTTGGGGTGGATCAAAAGTCCATTATTTGCTCCCACTTACCTTTGATGGCCCGACTCCACCGGGGTATAATTTAGCGTGTAGGCGGATGGCGATCTCCTGTCGCACCTGCGAAATGAACCTAGAATCGCAAAACCCGATTAGCTGAGATTGATCTACAGTAGATATAAACGGGGATCTCACTGGCGAAGAGTCTCGGCATCCTGGCGGTCACGCGGGGGCTCAAAGGCCTGGTTAAGCGGGAACGACACATCTCCGGGAATAGCAAAGTTATCGAGGGCGGCGTTGGTTAGGGCCTGGGAATCGGATTGTTAGTGGTTCTCCGACATCGTGTTTCTGCTATGTTCAACAACATACCTTCTCCGCCTCCCGGGCAGTCATTGTTGGCTTGACCTTTCCAAGGCAGTCGCTAATAAACAGAGTTCCGTAAATGAGCATGCGATCCGCAGGACCATTGATCTCAAAGTTGCGGAACAGGACATTGGCACGGAAGAGCGATAGGATCTCATCAACACAATCATATGATTCACTTTCTGGGGACACGTCGATGTCGTCGATGTTAAGCGGGGGCAATGTGTATGCGGGGCCACGAGTACGGGTCCGTAGGGGAAGAATAGGGAAATTTCCTGGAGGATATTTCGTCAATTTTGATTTAAAATGTTGATTCATAGCCTAGGAGCTTCTGCGCTGGACTGAGCGCTAGACTGAGTGTTCTCCTACCTATCACGGGAACATCGCGGTCCTCCAGGAAGATGGAGTGATATGCCTGAGTTGGTTAATAAGAATGCTTCGGTCACACTGGATATCAAAACATACAGGCATTTTGAATGTGTCAAAGAATTGAATTGTAGGAAGTTCAAACAGACGGAGGGACACAGGTTGACCTGGGAGGTTAGGCAGAGGGATGTCATCTGTGGAGTCCCCAAGCTCCATATGATTTTCCGCCCCGAGCCTCTTTACGCGCTCAACGCGTCAACCCTTTTCATTTACCTGCGTGTCTGGATTCATATTGGTTTTTCTATTTCTACACAGACATTTACCATGTCGGACTATGAAGATGAAATGGACGTGGATGCGCCCAAGGACGTGCAATTCACCTCCGACAACGCAAGTGGAAAAAAGAGAAATGTCGCCGATCTACCAGTCGAAGCTCAAGATAATTTGCCGTGGTGAGTTTTGAGAATCGTATTGCTTCTGCCATATCACTAACAAACTTGTCAGGGTCGAGAAATACCGACCAAGCAGCCTGGATGATGTCTCTGGCCATCAAGACATCCTCGCGACTATCAATCGGTTTGTGGAGACAAATGTAACAAATTCCTACGGATGTACGGTGGCTTTTGATTAACATATTTCACATAGCGACTACCCCATCTCCTCCTCTATGGACCTCCGGGAACCGGAAAGACTTCCACTATCTTGGCCCTGGCGCGGCGAATCTATGGCACAAAAAACATGCGACAGATGGTGTTGGAGCTGAATGCAAGTGATGATCGTGGTATTGACGTTGTTCGAGAACAAATCAAGACCTTTGCAAGTTCGTGTCCGAAGATAATAGGGTTGAATCACCAGCTCACCGTGAACACCAACAGGCACCAAACAGATCTTCAACATGGCTCCCCAGGGCACTGCCGGCTCTCCTCTGGCAGGTTACAAATTGATCATTTTGGACGAAGCCGATGCGATGACTTCCACCGCACAAATGGCCCTCCGTCGTATCATGGAGCGCTACACTGCTAATACTCGATTCTGCGTCATTGCCAATTACACACATAAGCTATCCCCGGCACTGCTGTCCCGGTGTACCCGATTCCGGTTTAGCCCATTGAAGGAAGTCGATATTCGGACCTTGGTCGACAAAGTGATTGAGAAGGAGGGTGTCAAGATACAGCCCGATGCGGTCGATAGTCTCGTGACCCTGAGCAAAGGTGATATGCGACGAGCCCTCAACGTGCTTCAGGCATGCTTTGCCAGCAGTAAGTTCAAGCTCTGCACTCCCTGCTCACCCCTGAGGCAATTGACCAATTTTATTTCTTAGGTATCCCACTGCCGATGAGAGACGCCCCCAAAACTCCTCGTCCCGAACCCGAGGCTGTCACCAACGCAACGATTTACGACTGTATTGCTGCCCCACACCCATCCGATATCCAAGAAATCATGACCACCATCCTCTCCACCAGCGATGTCACTTCCTGTCTCAACACCGTGCAGACCCTCAAGACCAACAAGGGTCTGGCTTTGGCCGACATTCTCTCCGCACTAGCAGACCAACTCCAACGGCTCGAAGTCCCCGCTCAAACACGCATCACGTGGCTCGAGGGACTGGCCGAGATTGAATGGCGACTTGCTGGGGGTGGTTCGGAAGCTATTCAAACTGGAGGGCTCGTCGGCGTGGTGCGAAATGGATGTGAGTTAATGGGGGACAAGGGTGTTGCGGTATAACACATGAAGCGATATCCCAACAACTTTCTGGTTTTATACAACAGGGCTAGGGATGGAGTCTAGGCGAAAAAGGAACAGTATCTCTCTCATTTTGACTTAAATTCACCAAGAAGTAACCGCTTGATATCGTTCTTGTTTCCCAGACCGGAATCCTCCGCTATCGCTCTCCGTATACCGCGGAGATACTTTCAATTAGCTAATTTCGTTTGACTTGACCACCCTGATATTCAATACTAACCAATGATAGATTCTTCTCAAACTACTCTCAGGCTGATTTGCACTATGGGTTGGCTTCTAGACCTCTCTACTCCGTACTATATCCTGGGCATCGGAGCCTTAGCTGCCTTAGGTTGAAGAGGGGAAGAGGGGGACGAGTTGATGTGTCTTGTCCGCTTCAGATTTCAAGATAACAGCTGCATTCCCCCCCGTGAATTGAGATTGTGCTTTCAATCTATTCACTTTATTTGATTTTATCTTTCATGATGAAGTACTCCATTCAGTGCCTTTTGCTGGCGGCGTCTTTTTCTGTTGTTGATGCCGAGCGTGTGTTGGGTGCGTATATTTTTGCGCGCCATGGAGATCGTACACCCAAGGTTTTTGGTAGCACTCAATTGACCGATCTGGGCTATCGAGAGGTTTTTGATTCGGGATCCTTTTATAATAAGCGATACATTTCGTCGAATTCTTCCAAGCAGATTGAGGGCATTAGTGCCGATGTTGTGAACCCAAAGCAGATCAGTGCCTCTGCTCCCTCGGATGCTGTACTGCAAAACTCTGCCACTGGCTTCTTACAGGGTGTATATCCCCCCGCGGGGAAAGTGGCCTCCCAGACCCTAGCCAGTGGAAACTCCGTCGAGGCACCATTGAATGGCTATCAACTCATTCAGTTGACACCGGCCACTACAAGCAAGAACGCCGAGGATTCCACCTGGTTGCAAGGCTCTAGTGGATGTCAGAAGGCAACCGTGAGCAGTGACAATTACTTTTCCTCGGAGATGTACACCTCGCTGCTATCCTCAACCAAGGAGTTCTACCAATCGCTTTCACCTATGCTGGATGGCGCATTCGCCTCGTCTGATATGACCTTCAAGAACGCCTACACCATCTTCGACTACTTGAATGTCGGCAAGATCCATAACACTACCCGTCAATTCCCTCACAAGTCAGACCTGACTGACGAGGTTTATCACCAGCTAATTGCTCTAGCTGGAAGCCATGAATTCAACCTGGCCTACAACTCCTCTGATAAAGTGCGTGCCATCGACGGTGCCGTCCTAGCGGGCGAAATTTTGGCCGGACTGAACGAGATCATCACCTCCAAGGGCAAGTCCAAGTTGAACATTGGTTTTGGCTCTTACGGAACCATCTTCTCTCTCTTCGGTCTTTTGCAGATGCCTGCCGCGTCCGTTAACTTCACCGGAATCCCAGACTACGCCTCGTCAATGGTTTTCGAACTAGTGACCAATACCAGTGGCACTGACTTCCCAGCTGACAAGTCCGACCTCAGCGTGCGTTTCATGTTCCACAATGGTACCATCACGGGATCCTCTGAGCCTACTGCATACCCCCTATACGGCCAGTCAAGTGAGCTTCTCTCCTGGGACGACTTTTCCTCGAAGACCAAAGAGATTGCCGTTACTTCCGATGAGGAGTGGTGTACCATGTGCGGTAACATCGACGGCAAGTGCGCTAGTTCGAACAGCAGCAGCGACTCCAGCTCTGCTAGCACTTCTAGCACTAATGGCTCGGGAATGTCCCTCGCTGTGGCGGGTGTCATTGGTGCTATGGTTACCCTCGCGGTAATCCTTGGTCTGCAGGCTATTTTCTTCCTGCTTGGTGGATTCCGCATTGCAAAGCGGAACAAGGCTAGCCCTGAGACAATGAGCTCCCCTGCCGGTGTGGAGGCGGAAAAAAAGGTGTAGGTTGTTGGTTTCTTGAATATAGCAAACAAATAGGTAGTCTGTGGCTTGCTTTACAGGATTCGCAACGCGTAATGAATCTGTGAATATACAGGAATAACTGGAATCTGATTTTGGGAGTCGGACTATACAACTACTGTACAATCCAACCTGATATGATATCTAGGACGCTTAATTAGCATCTTGCATGTAGCTGTAGAATGTTCAGGGCATTCTACTAGATCCAAGGTACTTCAATCTGCAATTTTCGATTCCCAGACCAATGAGCATAATATCATTAACAAGTGTCTCTTCATCCTTGAGACCATCACAGTCATCTGAAGGGTGACCATCCCACAGATTCACCGCCTTGAGTCAACTCTTCATTCTCTCTAACTTTTTTTCTTCTCTTCCTTTCTCAACCCCAGAATGCCTCGCCAACAAATCAATTTAGAACCCTACCGGGATGAGATCATTGCTCTCTTCTACCACGGCATTAGTAGCGACTCCATTAGCCGCTCCCTCGAACATTGTCATAATATCCACGTCAAAGAGCGCACCATCCAGTCCCGCCTTCGCAAGTGGGGCGTCCGCAAGCGACACCGAACGACAACAGGCGACGAGGCTTTGCACGCGCGCATTAGGATGCTTTTCATACAGGATAGGCTGACCGATAAGGCTATGCTCGACATGTTGCAGCAAGAAGGGTACGGTATCTCCGAACGCACTTTGCGCCGTCTGCGGTGTAAGTTAGGACTCCATGCCAGGGCCTCGGAGCCAGAGCACCACCAGGAACAGGAGCAGATGCAGAAGCAGATAATCTTTCCACGGCCTCGGACAGGGGGACAGCTGGTGTGAAACTGGCTTGTTGAACTGGAGCAAGGTTTCTCAGTGGTGATATTCCGCTGGGCTCCATCAAGCAGCACCCATGCGACACATATCATGAAGATGATCAGTAATTTCACCCTACGCGACAACACACTGGACTACTCCAATGCGACCCACCTGCGACTGTTCATGTCTCGATCTTGATCAACACCCTGGCAGTAATGGACCCGAGACTCCGTTTACTTGGGTCGTGTCCAGCCGACATATGCTTGCAAGTTGGCCTGTCAATGACTGACTCACGTCCCAATTTTGCAACCGACAAAAAGTTTGTCAATACCAAACATCTCCTCACAAAGCAAGATCTCACAGTGACGGTTCGGCGAGCCTTCCTTGAATCATTCAACCACCTACCAGCATCCACGCCCACCAAACGTCAAGTCAAGCCTGGTAAAAATTCTCGGCATCTGCTCAATCTACCAGGAAGTCTCGTTATCAATTATTCCCAAATGCGACAAAGATCTCATGCCCAACGCACAACCTCCTATCCCATGTTACCTGGCTAGTCAAAGGCATCGCGAGGGATGTGAGAAGTGTGCAGAATGTGTCACGTAGAGCTCAATACAAAAGAAAGGATGTTCTTTCTTTTTTCATCCAATTTTATTTTCTAAGCAATGTCCTTGGACAGACACCAAGTAGATAAGGGCTGGACCGACGTCACGTGCCATGACGTTCCCTTCGAGCTTTTGATCGGAGACACCAACCCATTGGATCGCAACACTCACGAGGGGTGTCCATATCCCTGAACATACTCCAAATTCCTCGCTCTGCGCCCATTTTGGCACGGACTGTAAGCACACAGCTTACCTGCTCACGATGTCCTCCCAGTACACCAGCGAGCCGAATCCCACTGCGTCGGCCACGCTCAACACGACGGTTGGCCCTATTCAGATTGCGCTCTTCGCAAGCCAGGCCCCTCTCACCTGCAAGAACTTCCTCCAGCATTGTAAGGACAATTACTATGCTGGCACAATCTTCCACCGGGTAGCCCCCGATTTTGTGATCCAGGGCGGTGATCCCACCGGCACTGGCTCCGGCGGAACCTCTATCTATGAATACCCAGAATTCGAATATGACCCTGAAGCTCGGGACCCGGAAGAGCGGGTGGTTTTACGTGATGAGCTGCACAGTCGCTTACGTTTCAATCGGCGTGGCTTGCTAGGAATGGCCAAGAGCGAGGACGGGACATACGGCAGTCAATTTTTTATCACGCTAGCGAACACGGAGCGTGAGATGAATGGACAATGTACAATTTTTGGGAGACTGGAAGGGGACAGCATCTACAATGTGTTGAAGATCGCAGACGCGGAGCGCATTGCAGGCACTGAGCGTCCTGTCTATCCGGTCAAGGTGACCTCTTGCGAGGTTGGGGAACTGGGGCCATTGGAGGGGAAATTAAAGGACAGGCAGACAATCTCAACTACCGACAAGGCAGAGAAGGGCGCACCCAAGAAGAAGAAGAAGGCGCCTAAAGGCGGGAAGACGCTTCTGAGCTTTGGAGACGACGGAGACGAAGAAATGCCCATGCGCCCAGCGAAGCCGAAATTCAACACCAATTTGGTCGTCGATGCGGCGGGTGCAAAGACCGAAACATCAAAACCCAAACCCCGAGCAGAAGCCCCATCACAACCACGCAAACGACCACGATCCCCATCTCTAGATCGATCACAGTCTACAGAGCGCAAAAAACGCCCAAAGACACCAGACCCAGAAACACAACTTCCCCTCCCTGACCCTGAGTCGCCTGTTCGGTCCCCGACCCCGGATGCTCGACCCGCAAAGGAGTCCAAGCTGTCGCGGACAAACGCTCAGATTGCCGCTCTGATGGCATCCATGCGCCGCGACGTTGATGTTGGTCCCAAAGACACAGGCCGAAAGAAATCTGCCCTCGAAGCCATGATTCCCGAGACCTCAATCCGAGGACGGAAACGGCCACCTCCAGGGTCTGCAAATGGCTCGAGTCGCAACGGGACAGGGCCTAGCAGCGCCGCTGAGCGAGAAGCATTGCAGCTCTTCAACGCATTCAAAGCCAAGCTCGAAAGCGCGAAACCCGAACCAACGACCAAAGCATCCCATGGTAAAGGTCACCCGGATAAAGACACCAAAAATCAAAAGGAAGACGAAGAAGACGAAGAGGCCCAACTCTGCGATCTACATTTCATTGCAAAATGCCAATCCTGCAAGGCATGGGACGATCCCGCGGCAGAGGTGGATGACCCCGAACAGCAAGAGGGAGGCTGGCTCTCGCACGAACTCCGGTTTGGGAAAGACACCCTAGGCAAAGACCTGAACTGGAAGCGCGAGCACGGAGGTGAGGCAGATTCGCTCATGGTGATTGATCCTCGTGAGCGAGAGAAGGAGGTAGTTGGACGAAAGAAGGGACTCCAACGTGATAGAGAGCGCGAGCGTAAACGGGAGCGAGTGGGTGATTTGGAATGGGATAAGGGGCGCTAAATTCTTATTTTCTAATGAATATCAATTCTTTCACCATCAATATTCTGACTTTGTATATACATCCAGGGCATTTTACTCCGATATTTTTAGCTTATCACTACCTAGGTGCAGTCATAAGCGTCCTGTGAGTAAGCGCCGGCGCCTTAATAAGGCAGTTCTAGGACACACACATCCCCAGAGACACCTAGGATTGGTTATTATGTTTGCCTCGTTCTTTTGTGTCAGCCTCATTGCATGATAACCCCTTTGATTCTACCAATGATCGCCGAAAGCAACACACCATCATGACAGAGCGCCGGGTCAGAAGGCACCCGACACCAGATATATAAACGTGAAACTCATCGTTCGGTTCTATGCTGTGGATTGAAAATTTCTTTGGAATGAACTGACACCGAGAGCATGATTGAACGAAAGAGATTAGAATGTCACGGATGCGAGAACACCCGTTCAGTTTGGAATTGAGATGGCTGATGTGATAAATTTTCACAAGTACATAGCTCCTAGATCGTATAGAGTTAACTTGTGTTGGTGATGATATTGCGCCGAGCAAAATTAAGACCTTTGCAATTCTTCTCAAGGACCAGATTCCCCTCGGCATCCAGTGACTAGTGGTACCGAGAGTCTTAATAGATCTTGATCCATGGGCATCGCATTTTTTGTCCAGGCTGGTAGTTCTTCCCGGGCGAAAGGTGGCCACGGGTCCCCGTCATCCTCACGATAGACATGCTGATGGTTTTGCCGTAGACTGAGGCTTAATCTCCAAGTCACTGCCTCATGTAGTTCTTCCATGATAGAAGCGAGCATCGCATAACGAAGAGGATCAAGATCTCTCGGGTCTGGTTTATCTCTCAGCCTCCAATTCTGCCGAAAAAAAAAGTACTCTGTCTCATAGCCTATCCGTTCATAGCGATCCGCGAGGTGGAGCTCATAGAGCGGGCAGATAGACCGCAGTGGCGTGTCCCGCATTCGCCAGATCGGAACGCAGCGAAGATTATGCATGGCGCCAAAATGGGATCAGAGTATGCCCGTCCCATTCTGTTGATCTGGAATTGGAAAGTGCCAAGACGGATATGAAATGAACAAGCGAAGGAGCGTCAGTATGGGATACTTGTGTTGGTGATTGAATCGCATCCGGAGAGGTGAGCTCCAGTAGCGAATTCATCTTCGAAAACGGGCCCATAAAGGTAACTTTGGTCGAAAGCTACGTGGAGGCATTTGGCAAGTCGATTTAAAGGTTGGAGAGAGATAGTTTGGGAGTGTGAGAAACATTGAGATAACGGACGGGGCGATGATGCGGATGCCCCAGGCCTAACTTTTATATCAACACTTTTGACCACTAGGCCAAAAAGGTGTACACCTTGGTCGGGATGATTAGTTTATTTCTTGTAGTTCTCGTAGTTCCGTGATATTTTAGGTCGGTGTGAAAACACAGTAGATTATCACTAGGCCACGACAAAAACAAGCTTCCTGTTTATAATCTAGGGGGCTTATTAACATTTTATGTCGGAGCATGTTGATTGGCATACCAAAGTCCATGCTTTTCTAGGATTATTGATGGGATCCGAGCCAAAAGAAATTCGATTGTCTAAAGTCTGTCATATTGGCATGCCCTCTAATCCTACCAGTCTCGCTGTACCCTAGGTACCCATCATATATGGCATACATTTGAGTACGGGCCGTAGATCTCGGATCTCGGGTGATCTGCGGGTAACCGTGGACTCCGGGATCCACTATCGGTCGAACTTCCAATGTTGCCGAGAGCGTAGAGAACAAGGGTACTGCATATGAAGTACTCGACAATAGATCCAAACAATGCCTACATATGAAATTCAAGGCCTAGGAGTGAAAGCAAAGGTATCTCATTAAACTTCCACTTGGATCAGTCATGGATCATCATAGGTTTTTACAGCCCAGTCGAATTAACCCCATATCAACAAGAAAAAAAACGCCTAATTGTACGCCGAGAAGTTTTGTTTCCATCCAAGCCCTAGCCCGAGCCCCTGCTTGTGTATTTGTTCCATCCGGTATTCCTTGCGCCATCGGCCGAATCACAGCTTTCTGCGCCGTTTCGTCGCACTGCCACCATCATCCATAGTTTCGCCCGGGTGCTCCGTGGTTGCGGGACTAGTGGCTTCACTGTCCGTCAGTTGCTCGATCACACGCCCCGATTCATCGTACCCAACATTGTCAAAGCCATAGTGGTAGGCCGGATCACCCTGCCCATGGTGAGGGGTTTCAAAAAGATCAGGTTCAGCAGGGATGTGATCGAAATCGAACAGGTCGTTGGTGTCTCCGTCATCGGCTTGGGTGGTTCCCACAGGATCGTTTGTATCCTGGCCAGTGCCCAAGTGGCTCATGGGATTCTCGGCCTGTTTCTTCACGTCGGAACCTGCATCCCCAATGTCGGTGAAGTAGTCGTTGTTGAATATTTGGTCGAGATCAAGCGGAGGAGGAGGTACACTACCATCGCTGCCCTCGATACCGGGGATGGTACCATTCGGGCTCAGCGGCTGAAGGAGACTAGTCAAGTTCTGGACGGATCGATCTTGCTCGGCTTGCATCTTAACTAGGTTATCGATTTCTTGTCGTGTGCTGGCTAGCCTGCCCGAGTAGTTGTGCGGCATGGGGGGTGGGGTCGGCGAGATGAGCGCGTTGTTAGGTGATACGCCAGCGTTGGGTTCTGAAGAATTTGTTTCGTTGGCCATGAGTCGAAGCATATCGGCGCGTTGATTTGCCGTGAGGGGAACATTACCACCATGATTTTCAAGAGAGGAGAGCACATTGGGAAACTCGGAGAAGTTTGTGGAGAGCCCGTTTCGTGCATTGGAGTTTTGGATTACAGACATAATGTCCCTTTGAGGGGAAGTCTCGTCGGTCGGCTGTCCCGAAGGAATGGTTGGAGCATTTGGGCGGGGACTGTGGTCAAAGACCTCCTCAACATGGCCGTGCTGGTTCGCGCTAGGTTGCCGAGTATGACCACGAGACCGTGTGTCATAGGAACCACTGGCTGATGGTGAAACTGTGGAGGCCCGAATATACGCATCCGCCGCGGGCGGAGCCTTCAAAAGCAGCGGCTGCTTCTTCATTGTTCTCTGGGAGTTCGGGCTAGTCATGGAACCCAAAGCATTGCTAAGGTAGTCATCATCAACATCCACAATGTTTCCTTGATCCTGCGAAATGGCACCTGCAAAGGAATTTGCGAGATTTTGTGGCCCACCCTCACCCTGCAAACTGCGATTGTATACAGTTGCAAGGAATGTTAGAATGGCATTGATCGAATTCTCATGGCGAGTGTGTTGCTCTTGGAAGTTGGCTGCCTGGGCATAGAGTTGCTCGTGTTCTTTCCGCAGCCTGGTGATCGTGGTTGAAATGATTGACTGCTGTTGACGAATCGCCTGAAGTTCGCGATATACCCCAGAAAGTTGATCACTGGGCACAGAGCTATCTGTGACTAGTGACAATTGCTGTGGTCGGGGAGCACGGCTATCACGAGGAGCCGGTGCACCCTCTTCAACATAATCGTCCATCTCGTTATCATCAATATCCTCCGTCTTTACGCGTGTGCCGCCCTTGCTAGGCTTGCTCGCATGTCCACCGCCTCCCGCATTCTTTGGCTTTTGGATGAGCCATAGAAGATCTGGATGGCCTCGTTTAAAGTAAGGGTTGGCGTATTCACTGGGGCTCTTGTTTTTCCGTTCGCTGGCGCGCATTGAATTATCGGAAAGTCCGACCTTCTTGTGGAAACCGTACATATTCAGCTGTCGGACGAATGAGGCGTAGTTATTGTGCTTGAAGAGCTCGGGAATCAGCGTTCTGGCAAACTCATCTTCATCTAAGACAACGAAGGAATTGCCATCGTCCGACCATCGAATCAGTTCCGTATTCTTGGATTCGTCCAAGAAACTGTGGTTTTCAGTTAGCCTGAAAACTGATTTAAAAAAAGCAATGAATGTATGTCATACCTGCTCAATTTCTGTACAAATGGCGGAATTTGCTTTCGTTTTGCCTGCGAATCTCTCTTGGCAGTCAAGGCTCGCCGGTAGAGCTCCTCTAAAGATTCCCCCCATGCGCCACTCTCTCCATTTCCACTGTTTCCGCCGTTTTCCACATATGAAGCAGGAGGCTGTTCGTAGCCACGGTTTCGGCTGACCATCTGGTTCGCTTGTCGGCGGGCAAGTTGGTTGGATGCTGTTGCAGCCGGTGCAGATACATCTGGGGGTGGCACAAAGCCTGCCGTATTGTAGGAGGGATCGGAGAAAGCGGAGGTATTGATGGCATTAGCGGGGGGATTCTGACCCCATTGTAAGAATTGATCGTTGGAAAGCTGAGAGCCCGGGTTCGCGGTAGTCGGAAAGTTCGGTACAGGGTTCATCTGGGGATGAACGGGAGGAACTGTTCCCGGCGCAGGTCTCTTGCGGGTCATTCCTTGCGAGCTCATGGTGAATAGGCTGGCGCGCAAAGGCGTTGGATCTTATCGCGGTGGAGTGCGATATGAAATTGTATCTCGACGTTCTTCGGTCACTGAATAATTGAACTGAGTTGACCGCAGGAGATGTTACCTAGAAGACAGAGGAGCCAGGCGCGAACTCAGTATGCAAAAAGTTGTTCATCCAAGTCGCCTAATTTTGAGTCAAGAGGCTTTGACCACAGAACCGAGAAAAAAAAAAAGTGGATGCCACCGATTGCGCGAATCTATCGAAACCAACACCGAGGGTAAGGAAAAAGTCACAAGGATCGATAACCCACAGATCAAGGACCGGTGGTGATTACTAGGAAGATGACGCTCAATGGGCGCGTGAATTGTCCAACATCCAGAATAAGGCGGGAGGCATCAGCAGAACGGAACTGGGCGGTGAATGATATGCCAAGTATTATGATCTAAAGGCACTAACGAAATGGAGATCTTCGAATATCTCCCACTTAGTAAATCGAATGAATCAACTGAGTTCCCTTATGCCACTCGGCGGCGAGATCAAGTTGTCCCGCGGGGAGGCGTTTCCTGAGTCAGCAAGGTGGTGACCAGTACTTGGAAGTCCACGGGTACCATGTGATCACACATGCTTATCAGGTATCACATACGGAGTACAGATGGAAGAATTGTACCGCTATATCTTAACTGCAAAAGCCATGGCAATGCTCTCAATCCGTTGGTCTTTTTTTTTTTTTTCAATAACCATTAAGGAGTACACGACTGTCCTTCAAGCACACAGCTCGCTCAACGGTGTATGCGAGACTATGTGGATTCCCCGATCAATCCCCGGAAGTCCGTCAGAATCTGTTGCCACAACTCAGGTTGCTTCTGCGTGAAGTTTTCAACCTTTTTAGGAGCAGACAAGTCTTCCTTCATGCGCGACTCATTCTTGGTCCCATTCAGCACCGCCACATTCTTCAAGCCCATAACAAGCGTATAAAAAGCAGCAGCCGGAGTTATGTTAACATGGCGAGCAAGCTGCTGCACTGGCTCAGAGCGCACGAGGCCTGGGTTCGCCGTCAATGTCCAAAAACTCTGGTATATCACCTGATTCTCGCGGCAGAATGCGCGCAAGGGGACATCGAACAGAGTATCCTCGTAAAATCTGTTTTGTGCCACCGATGGCTTCACGGTTGTCTGGGATGATACACACAACTCGCGGAGGATAGGCAATGTACAGTTAGAGATACCTAAATTGCGGATGCGATGAGGGACATAAGTCTCCAGGGCATGCCAGGCTTCCAGGGTCTGGGCTAAAGTCGACAGTGGCGAATGGATGATTACGGTATCAATGTAGGTCTCATCCACGGAGTCAGGATCAACTTTTGAGCGAAGATTGTGCAATGATGATTTGATAGATGCATGGACCTGATCCGTCACTGTTGCTGACGGGTCATAGGGCATATTGGCCGGATCCTGTGCTGACACAGGGCTATATTTGGTTTGCACCTAGTTATGGTTAGTTATCCCTCGCAATACAGTTAGACTAAAAATAGCCACTGCACACTCACGTATAAGTCGGCTCGCCCGACGATCCCATCGGCAATTGCTCTGCGGATGCCATCACCAACGAGATGCTCTTGGTAATGGCGGGGTTGGGCTGCTGTGTCCACAGCTTGGAAACCGGCTTGGATTGCATTATAGACTAGATCGGCGCTGCGCTCTTTCTTCCAGGCTGTGCCGTAGACGAAGACTGGGATGGTGGAGACAGTACCCTGAGTAGGTCGTAGGCAGTACTTTTCCCACATCTTGCCGATAGTCCGAGTCATCTACGTCTTTAGATGAAGAAATTCGTAGTTAAATGGCTTTGGTTGTATATATTCACGTAGAAGTACGCACAGCTTGGAAATGTTCCAAGTGATGTTATGATTGCGGGGGGTCCACCCATGCTCGGGTGGACTTCGCTTTCTTACTAAGTAGAAACCCTTGGGCACCGTCAGAGCCCAGATGAAAGTAATCAAGGATTACATCACGAGGTACACTGGTGAGACTAGAATAGATTTTCTAGTTTTACTGATCTCGTTGATTCTAGTAGTTCTACTCAAAATTCCAAAATATCGATAGTCGCGTTAGTCTGGACTATCACAGGGGAGGTCAACGGCCTGGAACAATTAACGAATAGTGTTGATAGACTAGGTACAAGCATATACTTGGAGAATCCAAAAAACACTGAAGCCTGGAGACCAACCAACTCAACATTGATAGTCGTATACCTGTCACAACATCTATATATATATACATAGATATATATATAAGAATAGTGGACCGGAACAGCTCGGCTATCGGTAGCCTGCGTGGGCACTTCTACGGAGTAGATTTGAACGTGATAATGATCGAGTTTCGAGCGTTATGCTTCCTACTGAGCGTATGGAGTATAAACAAAGAAGGTGAAATGATCAATGCCGAATCCCCGATATGCACCGATTGGTCCCACAGCGTGGCTTAGACACTAGACTATGTACTCCGTATATGATCCTCCGTGGGATAAAACTCTTGGCGAACGGAAGATGTAGAAGTAATCAAACAATCGTACATAGTTAAGCTTAGTTCTGAAGTAGAGCATAGCCACAGTGCCTGCATATGATAAATATATACAGAACACAATGCACGATATTATTAGCAAGATCTCTAGGTCCACATGTATATATGTTTCCATTTAAGCTCTTGGCAAAATCTTGGCTGATCGCATAGACCAGGCAGCTGCTTTTGCACAACCAACATTGGCGGGACTCCGCTGATCGGTGCATCGTCAAGGATGTGCACACTTTGGGGGCTCAGTCCATTTTTCAATTGAACCCTGACTACTCCGTATGCGTGGGGAATGTCGACAAAGAAGATCATCTTCTACATATAGAACAGACGTTAGCTTCAACAATATAAATATATCTAAATTCCCACTGCTTTTGATCAGAGACAAAATCACAAACGCCTCTACAATCATCCATCGACATCAATAACCATGCATACTCAGAAGCTCCTCCCTCTTTGTGGCCTCCTACTTGCCAGTAACATTGCCATCGCATCCAAATTGGATCACGACGATTTCCCCCTCGGTGCCGGTCTGCCTGCAGCTCCGTGGTCGGAATCGCCAAGAGTTGTGATGCCAAGCATGAACGCGATTCAGCTGAGATCCAATGCATTTGCGATTGGGACGCTGCCAAAACTCAGATCCCGCTCTGCTCCGCCTGTATCACCCAGTACCAAAGTGACAGGCGCAACAACAACATCACCGATGGAGACCGTGGTGACTATGACGATGACAGCGATGATGACGACGATGATAACGGTATGTATAATGTGATTATCCCTAAGATACAAAACAATCCTAACGCATTGATTAGAGGCCCTGGACCTTGTCTACTCTTGCTCGCTCACCACGACTACCTACAACTCTGCCGCTGCCACTACTGTGACTGGCACATCTACTAGCACTGCTACTTCAAACACCGCCACTACCACAAACTCTTCTAGCACCAGCGGGACCAGCAGCCAGGGCTCGACGGGCTCGACTTCGTCCGGCTCGGGATCCTCTGATTCTGCCGGTAATTCAGCGGGCGCTGCGTCCTCTGCCACTTCTACCCCTGATGCAGCAGCTGGTATTTCAGCTCCCGGTGCTGCATCCATGGCAGGTGTCATGGGACTGATGGCTTTGGCTTGGCTGTGAGATTCAACAGTGTCAGATCTTGGCCGAAGATGAGCGAGTGAAGATATACACGATGGTTTTATGAATATTTTCAATTTATATCTGCAGATGATATTGACGAGTATGTCCATTTTTGAGCTAGCCTGTAGTCCATGCAATTAACAATTTCGTGTCTTCTTTTTGGAAAAGACTCGAGCGAGAGAAAGTATATATGGCCGAGTATACCCAGTGAGAATGTCACTAGCGAAAATTAACCAGAAGATGCGCAGAAGATACAACAGTAGAACAAAATTACAAGTCCGGGTGTTGATATGTCCCAGAAAGTCTATATAAGTTAGAAAAATACAAATCATATCTCGTCCACAGGTCATGGTGCTGCATGTAAAGACGTTTCATGTGCAGGTGGTGCATGTACAGGCGTTTCGTGTGCAGGTGTTTCATCATTCCAATCGCCCCAGAAGTCATCACCGAAAAAATCCTCATCTGGCTCTTTATAATCCATGTCATATACATCCTTGTAGCACTGCGCCTTTGCAGGACAACTGTTCACGGCCAAAGGTTAGGATCAACTACCGGAACATTTCTTGTCTTATAACTTACAATACGGGATCCTGCCCGAAGATGATATGCCATATGTATTCAAAGACACGACCACTCGTCTCATCGTCCAACTCGGTGGTCATAAGCCAATGATGATACGACTCATAAGCGCTCCGTGGGCGTTGGAGGACCTGCTCCTTGGTTACAGCAAACTGAGCACAGCAAGGCGTAGCAACAATCTCAGGCACGTTTGTGTTGTTAAAGATACGGATCCAAGCACCCGCAAATGCAAGTTCGGTAGTGCGACCAGCAGTTTGCCGGAATGGCTGGACTTCATCAGGACACCCAGGACTCCAATCGCAGCGCAAATTGAGATAACCAACTTGTCTGAGGTAGTCGAGTTGCAGTCGTCGAACGGTCAATACATTGTCCTGCTCCCAGAATTCAACATGGCCGCTATATTGATGAGCGTGGAGAAAGACCATGTACTCGGGCAATTTGTCATAATTGTCCAGAATGTATTGCAGGTAGGCACTGCTTTCTTTGCCTTTGTTTTGTTCGACTGGCAGCTCTGCTTCGGGATCATCGACGAGATAGACTGCGTGTTGCCATCTATAATTCGGGTGTTAGATTAGCCTTCGGCATAGTTTGTTAGTGAATGAAGTCTGGGGACTTACTCTGGCAGCTGATCCTCAAGCCAATCGGTGTTTTCGTACGACATCTTCCCCAACACAATTACGCGATCCGATTTCGGAGTGACCTTCGGACGAGCAGGAGCTGTAGACGATGGTTCCACCGCATCATCATGCTCTACCGGAGCGAGTATTTCAGGATTTTGGAGTAAGCTTTCTGAATCATAGAAGCTGGGCGGCAATTCAGATCTGAACCATAGCTCACCCGCCCACTCAGCACCGGGAACATCGACGGGGATGCGCTTAGGTTCAAGATTGTTGGCTACCACATGACGAGTTGGTCGGGCTGTGGGGGTCCATTTCCTCCGGGGCTGGGTACGTGAAGCGGATGTCGTAGTATGGGCAGAGACCAGCTCGATATATGTATCGCCATCTAGGGCATAGATATTGGGAGTATTTCGATCACTCCATTGCAAGATAGAATCAAGGTGAAATTTCACTAGAAATACGGTTACAATTAGCGCAATGGCTATCGCCGCTCGTAATGGAGTTCGCATTATCTAGCATGCAAAGAGTTGAAGATCAGGAAAATCGATCGAAATCGACTATGTAGATCCAAGTCGAAGCGAGGAAAAAAAGCCACTCTAAAAGCAATTAGTATCCACTCGCCTTGGCCTTCAGCCCCTGTCAGCCGCGTGGACGAAATATACGTACCTTGTTATATTCGTTGTTTTTTTTTAGACACTTAGTTTAGACTGGGCTCAGACTCGGTATATATGTTTCTTCCTAATCCCTGGCCTTTTTATCTCGAGTGAAATAATCATCAGCCTCTGTTCATGTCTCAATCCGGCGACTGCAACGTTCATGTGGGTCTGACACTCGTCACCTATTCGTGTCGAATATCGCTTGTTCTCGTGAAACTGTCGATCCTTTTTAGAATTAAGCAAGAAAATCTACATGTATCTTATACCAATGTGAAGAGGTAAAGATATCATCTATATACATGCAATGTGCCCTGGCTTAAGCGAATTTAAGGACTGCATGATATGCTGCATGCAACTAGTTAAAATGTAACGTTTCGAACGGGTCAAACGGGTCAAACGTTGAACATTACTACGTTTGAAATAGTCCTTATCCATGGATGCACAACATACAATCTACGATCTATCTAGGTCCATGTACTCCGTACGGAGTACGTCAGATTTTGATATTGTTGGCCTGATTTGTTAGGCTTCCAGCTGGTTGAAACTGGCTGCCTTTCGTTTCATGTCGCTCAACTCCTATCTCAAGTAATGGATCAGAAAATGACTCGTACTCCGTACACATATTTGACTCAGTTTGATCAACTGATTTATTGGGTAAAAATATGTCTCATTTTTCAGAGCCTGAACCTCGTTATCAGCTCTGGCATCCAACTAAATATTGCTTTTGCCTCGACCTTGCGTACAGTAGATCCTGGTAACCCAGAGACTTTTCCCCTTTAATTTCTTGGGAATTCTAGGGTGTCCTACTCCGTATATGAGCTGCAATTCAACCATGGTGAATCTCTATCATCCTATCTCGAGCCTTTTTGATGATCATGTCGGTCCCTTCATTCCAGCTGTGTGGATATGGAGTGTGTCTGTTTCCCTCGTCCTAAGAGCTGATAGCGCTTGTTGAAGGCCTTGCTACCCAACCACAGAGTTCGTTCTCCTGAAACATCGTGGACGTCCTTACGACCCGACCCGACCCTCTGTAGATCAATCCACTACCAAGTATTCCCCCCCTCCTTGGTATTTGATCGTAAATTCTCAAAAAGAGATCACGTAGTTCAGACAGAGAGCAAGATCGGAGATATAGTGTCATGTGCAATATGTGATCCCTCTGACCACCCTTTACTGAGACATCTCCTAAACATACCTATTACGGGAACGACTGCCGAAGCGAATCAGACTTCAGAGCAAAAAGTTCCGTAGACTTTTCTAGCGTGACTTGGAAGTGACCATACACTGTACGGATAACGGAGGAGTCTATCCCGAGTACAAGTGTCCGGAGTAGTCACTCAGAGCCGGAGCTCCAGAGCTCCACCAAACCGGGATCTGACACCACTGAACACCTTCTGAGCAGCGTCTAGCGGGTTCTAGCTGGATCACAGGAACCCATAAGGAGCTTCGGTGCACGCGCTAGAAACGGAGGATGCGCGGATCGTGGAGACCAGACAAAAGGTCCAATTTCATGGAAGTGGGACTGGCGCAATATATCTTTCATGTACTCCGTACCGTCAATTTAGCTGTAAAAGCCGATGGGGAAACAACGTGGCCTATCCGGCTGGGCCGAACCTTTAGGGAAATTTCCCAAGGGTATTAAAAATAACTCTTATATGGGTGGCGAGTCACGAACTCGCCCGTGAGGCAGATGGGGCGAAAGGAAATAGGGGGGAACTAACCTCAGGAGTAAATGAGTAATTATAGAAAATCTCCCCCTGAAGATGAAATACAGTAATTAAAATGAAGCGGAGTCCATGAGAAATACTCTCCATCTGCATGTCTAAACGGGTGGTGTATCAAATATAGAGAATCACATCTAACATACAGTGTGTAGTAGTGCAGGACCCCTTGCTAAGCACGAGGCAGGGTGTGAACCCCAACTCTGTCTATACGTCAGACAACCCAGACTCGTGCACATCATCCACGCACCGAAAAAAAAAAGATAATCAAAGTATTTCCCCAAATTTGCTCAGGGATGAGAAGCTATAAGTAGTGTCCACCACGGCGGGGTCCTCTAAATTGCCTAGTGACGAGCCTAACGAGGCACCGGCGTCTTGGTAAAAGGCTAAGCCATCAGGACCTACTCCGTAGAAGGATAGGGATGGAGTCATTAGCTGTGATTTTGACTGTAATTTCTTCAGGGGGGATCTTCCAGGGGAAATAGAGGATAAGGGGAATCCAGCGGGAAGATATACATGATATGATATGTAGATGCAAAACGTTCAATATCGAAAATTACAATATCTACTACTCTGTACTGCGTATGTTGTACTCCATAGCTGCTACTGTTCAGTATTAAATAGTATCATGTCATTGGATCAACGAGTCCACCAGTGTGGCCAGGGGCAATACCAGACTAGATGTACTATAAATGTAATGTTGGAAATGGTATAGACATGTTATATAAATGCTATAAATGTAGACCTATAAGTATGACTTTTAGTCTCCTTGGATCCTCTTTTTCCCCTTTTATATCATAAATAGTTCATCTTCACCTTTCTGCCCGAATACTTGATCCTCTTCCCTCTCTCTCTCTCTCTCTCTCTTTTTTACATACTTATCACCTCCTTACTCCATTTCTTGGCAGCTTCGTGGACTGATTTGCCGTTTGAATTTCCTTGATGAGATCTGTCAACTCCCAGGTTTCATCGGTCTTATAGCAAGTTTCAAGGAAATCCCCGGACCAAAACCAAAAAAAAGGACTTTGAAAAGAAAAGAAGAAAAGCAAAAGCCCCTTGAATGAAACGAAACATTTCGTGACCTTTTCAACATATTTTGCCCTTCCTTCTTTTTTTTTTTTTTTTTTTTTTTTTTGTTCTCCGCCCAGAATCTCCCTCCGATCGGCTTTTAGTCCAAAGTTTTCCCTTTTCCCCAAAACATCCGCACAATCCCGTCCCTCGACGGTTTCTATCCTACCAACTTGTGTGTCGCTCTCATGGTGGAGTAGTGACTGTTATTTCTTTTGGATTCGGAATTCTCGATGAGTTATCAAGACATGTATCACGATCATTCTGCGCGTTCCCCTGGGTCTCAGAGGCATCAACAACCCCTACACCGTCAGCCTTCTCGACAGTTTGATGCATATGGCCCGATGCCGACCAATATGTACGAACAAGACCAGATGCGTTATGAGTCCGCTCGCCTGGAACGTTTGAACCCCTCCCTGCAGAACAACTACGGTTATGATATCTCCGGCTCGCAAACTTGGAATCCCAACGGTTTTGCCAATGCTCAAACTCTCGGAGGAATTCGCTCGGCTTCCGCTAGCCTGAAGCCGAATGCCCGTGGACGTGCTGGCCTCCCCACGGTATGTTGCGTCTGATTTGATGGACCCCCTATCTTCCCCTAGGCAATGAAGGGGAAAAAAAATACTAATAGTCGCCTCAAGACGTGGTTGGATCAGCAACCAAACATGCCCCAAGCATTTTCGAACCTGGGTCCTGGTCCCATTCAGAGCAGCGCTATGCGACCGGAAGCCTCGGCCTCGTCTGCCGACGACGACGAATTGATCCCGACCGCCATTGTTATCAAAAATATCCCCTTTGCCGTGAAAAAGGAGCAGCTGGTTCAGTTGATGACAGAACTCAACCTCCCCCTCCCATACGCCTTCAACTACCACTTTGATAATGGTGTATTCCGTGGTCTGGCCTTTGCCAACTTCACATCCGCCGAGGAGACAGCAACCGTGATCGAGGTCCTCAACCACTTTGAGCTTCAAGGTCGGAAACTGCGAGTCGAGTACAAGAAGATGCTTCCCTTGCAGGAGCGGGAACGGATCGAGCGTGAGAAGCGAGAACGCCGTGGCCAGTTGGAAGAACAGCACCGCCCTATGGGAGGTGGCCCTCAGCTCCAGACGCAGAGCTCTATGTCTTCACTCACCTCGCACATCCCGGCCACCTCGCCGTCGCCCGTATCCCAGCGAGGACAGAAGATTGGTGGGTCACTCAGTTGTTGAAAAAGGTTGTCGAAAATTTGGCCTGTCGCTAACAAAAATTTTCTGTGCAGATGTGGACTTGAACGACACTCAGACCCTTTCCTACTACTCCCAACTACTCCTTTTCAAGGAAGATACTGTTCGCGATTCTGTGATCTTCCCCCACAACCTCACTCCCTCCCAACGTCGTACGGTTCACACTCTGGCTCACAACATGGGCTTGGGTCATGCTTCACGTGGCAGTGGCGAACAGCGCCAGGTGCAGGTCTTCAAGATTGCCGCCGGTGCCAATGTCAGCCCCCCGACCTCCTCCATCCCACCATCTGGCCAGTCGGATAGCGGTCGTCGTGGCCTCAACCGGGCGGCGACCATCGACTTCAGCGAGGCTCGCCAAGAAGCCGGGCCTGGCGCTTTCAACACATTGCGTGGACAAAATTCGGGCTTTTTGGGCGTGATGGACTCACCTGGCAACTTTTCCAATGGCCAGAACCTGCGGGCTGCCAAGTCCTTTGCCGACCTGCGATCTTATACCCCTTCGCCCGTGCCTTCCTCCGCTAGCTTCCCTGCCGCGTTGCAGTCGAATGGCGCCCGCCTTCAGTATGAGGGTACGCCCACTGGTACTTCCAATACCCCGACCCTGACCCCTGCCCAGTCGGGCTCTTCTCTTGGCATGCAGCGTGATGACCTGCTGGTCAACAGCCTGGGTGGCCTTTCCCTCGGCACCGGTATTGGTGGCCCCAACTCGAGCCCCCGTCGCCTGCGAGGCATGTTCTCCTGGGAACAGGACAACCAACAATCCAACGCTGGCGCTATCGGTAGCAATCGTGGCATGGGAATGGGATATGACGGCCAGCAGGAACGCATGCCCGTCCGCCAG